TTGTTTACTTGCGTTTTTCATTTCCGAGATTAAAGAGTGAAGATGTATCCCGAACGCAAATATCGTCATTTACAAAAAACAATTGCTGATTGGTCGACCTGGGTGTACTGAAATCCAATCAGAACTCTGGAAAAAAGTTCCCATTTCTATGAACACCGTAGGCCAAGGGTTTATGAGGAGAGAAGCGTATCAGAAACCCTTGGCTAGCGAAGATGCCTATTGCGGGACATGGCGACAGACCAGATTGAACCAAGGTTCTGTGTCTTAGTAGTTGTTGACACGAAAAATATCCCTCATTATTTAAAACTTACAAATCATGCAAGATTTTTATTGTATAATACAACACTTAGCTATGGAGCCCAACTCGAACACAAGAACCCATGATCCATGGGCCATGAAATTCGCAATGTTGAAAGAGGCACCTTTGCTCATTTTAACTTTGTACTTGATTTGCTTAATTCACTGGAGAAGAGAAAAAAAGATCTTTTTAAAAAAATGCACTTTTACTATATGATCTATACAGCCCCGCCCTAGCACCAGAACCGGATCTATGAATTCCACAATTTTGTTACCGTAGCTGTATCGACCATAGAACTTACGAATTGATGACTTTAAACGAGACTGCTGATATTCTTGTTTCAGCAACTATAAAACTGTATAAAATTGCAATGCAAATTCAGCTACGAAGTGTCTGAATATACCACATAAAATCGTACAATGATGAAAAGCCAGCCTTTAGGTTGGAAAAGCCAAGATTAAAGTTAAAAAAAATTAAAATTGAAATTACCAACTATGAAGTTGGAATGGAATATCCTAAATTAAATTTGGAATAACCAACTTTAAAGTTGGAAAAGCCAGGATTAAAGTCGGAAAGGCTAATTTCATATTTCACAAGTGTATTTCTTGTGAACCTTTCTTAGGGCACCACCAAATTTGACCTCTTGATCTTGATCGGGGAATTTGAACCACTTTTTATAAAAAAAAAATTACTCATAACTTGCGAACAGTTGGTTCATGGGCTTTCATACTTAATATTAGTATTCATTGTATGAAGATCTTTCATTGGTTAATTGGTATAAATATGTTTCACCTTTCAACCTTGACCTTAGCGTTTGACCCACTTTAAAAAAAAAATCTAACCTAAACCATAATTTTTTTAAGTTAGAACTATGGCTTCCATATTTTCCAGGTATATACCTTGTGACAAGACCTTTCCTTGTATACTAACAATTTTGAACTTTTGATCTTGACATCGGGGTTTGACTTGTATTTGAGTTCAGCCCTCGCTATAAGCTGCCATACGGGGGCATATTAGTGTTTCACAAACACATTTTATTTATTTAAGGACAGATAATACAAATAAAAACGGATGGCTGGATTGGTATATATTTTTGAAACTATTTTGACTCTAATATGTCTAATAAATATTTAAATGCTGAAATATTACGAAATTGTAAATATTTTATGACATTCTGCCATTTGAAACTATTTCCTTAATAATCTATACAATTTTTGTCACTTTTAATCACATTCATTAATATGAAACTGAGATTGAAAACTTAAAATCTATATGCAATTAAACTTATTCATTATACTTTTGTTAAATTGATTTCAGTCGTTAAAATTAAATTTTTTGAATAACATTTTGTTTGTATCATCTTTCTTTAATTGCAGAGTCGGTATGCTATTTACCTACCTACCATTAGGTCTTGTAGGCCGGTAAATACAAATGTGCGAGGCTAAAGAAACCAAAAGCAGTTTTTAAGGTCTCTCGGGTGACCTATTGCTTTCTGTTTTCGTGTTTTCGTCCGTCGTGCGTTAACATTTGAATATTTTCAGCTTCTTTGAAACCGCTAAAACAATTTCAGCCTATTTAAGCATATGGCATCTATGGGTAAAGGGAAACAAAATTTGTGAATGGCATTGTCCCTGACTCCAGGGGCCTGAATGATGGGGCTTAAACCATCAAAATTGTGAAATTCATGGCTGCAGGCTCAGGAGTTCTAGTGCTAGGGCGGAGCTACGACTACGAGGGTTGATCCAAATGTTCGTGGAATTTCTTTATATTTTATTTATTTTTAAGTGATATTGGTTGAAAATTACAAAAGAGAATATAGACACTTGTTGAATAGTTTCAATAAAAAACATTTTAAATATTTACGATTGTTACTCTATGACAGTTGCTATAGAAACGGTTGTTTGGAAATGCCGGGGAGACATTAATGCGTTTTTAATTATTTTAAATCAATTCTTAATTCGTGAAATGAGAATAAAACCGCCCTATGTGGTATATAAAACGAAAATTATGTCATTATTACGATTGCTAGATCTTTTATTAACCTTTGAGTGAGATTTTACTCATTTTACTGGATATTAAGTTTATTGGTTGATGATTTATTGTTCATCTTTAAGTTGTTAGACGACCGCAAATTTCGGTCAAGTCATAAGTTTTGTGAAAATCCCGGGATCACTCTATCTTAAACGCGTATATTATACAATTATTGCTGTTTTATGAGGTCAATACAATGATTTAGCCATCTGAGGAGTACAATATTCACCGAGCCCGAAGGGCGAGGTGAATATTGTACTTCGAAGATGGCTAAATCATTGTATTGACCGAAAAAACAGCAATAATTGTTTTATTATATGATTCACTGATAAAATGATACAGCTCATTACTTGTTTGCATTTAATTAAGTCCTAGCCAAATACAAGAGAGAAGCAGAATTAGAATGTAAATAAACCTTACTAGTCGTATCAATTTGAAGGGTTTTTTTTTATCAATTTTAGTTGCTATGAAAAAAAATATAATGTCAGTCTATTTTATAGGATAAATTTTGAAAGGAAAGAGTTATCAGGGAAAACTGACTGCCAAAAAGTAAAAATTGTTGTTCAGTAAAAGTGTTGGAGGGGGTTTCCTGCATCCCCTCTTACCACACTCACCCGAAAATATATTATTTGATTATGTACTGTTCATATGAAAAAAAAGTCATAGTCGTTTAAATAGCTTTCCAAAACAATTTGTATCAATTTGGAATTTCCGATCTATTTTTAGATCAATGTAGAGGAAATAAATCCTTGTATTCACCTGGAACGTCACGTGCAGGTCAATACAACGTAGTATTTTTCTAACATAGTTGGATCTCAGCCAATCAGAGAGATGGAAATTATTCAATCATATAATAATATTGATTATTGACATAGGCTGGGGGAAAATGCATTCAGTTACTGGTTTTCCAGTGGCATAAGAAATTTAAGAAAAATAAAACTTCCATGGACGTGGAATAAAGGCGTGGCCGCTTTTTGAAGGCTCTGTTTTAAGTGCTTATCCCCCTAGACAAATTAAAAGCGTTACTGTAATGGACGTTGTCGGCTGACGTACTGTTCTTGACATTGCTACTGAACTTGGAACATCATTTGGAAAGATGGGAAGTATTTTGAATTATGAGTGAAAAATGAAGATAAGTTGGTGCTAGAGGATTCCTAGACTTTTCTTGAGAATAAAAAAATGGAGAAAAAGGCAGCATTTTGTACAAATACGTATTTGAATTGGACATTAGGGTAAGATGCTTCGATAACGTGACGTGACATATCTAACTTGACGTAACGTCGAAGTCTCCCCCGGGTTTCACAACTATCCATTTTCAGAAAGCTTTTGTGAACTTACTGGTAATTGGAAAGTGGTAAAATTTTCAATATTGTTGCATTATGCCTCTATATTTCAATTATGCCTGACTGTTGTTTTCTTTCGTCAAATAACGATGAAATTTTAAAAAGAAATTCCACGAGCTTCTAGATCACCCCTCGTATATAGATTTATAGTGAAAGTGTATTATTTCATGAAAAACGTCTTTTCTGCTCCTGGGTTTTAAGCAAACTAACTACATAAATAATTATGATCGGCAAGGGTACCTTTCTTAAAATTGTGAATTTCATGGCCCCCCAAGGTCAGCAGTTCTGGTGTTGGGGCAGGGCTCTATTGATTATACATGAAGTGAAGTTCTTTGGAAATCTTCTCAGCTTCTGGGTATTAAGCTGATGAACTACCTACATAGTCCTTCCTCCAGAATTTTGAATTTCAAGGCCCCTGGATCAGAGGTGCCAGGGAGGGGGGGGTATATATACTGAAAATGAATAAATGCTTTGAAATCTGCTCATTGGTATCAATCAAACATATATTATGAAAAAGGGTGCCTTTTCCAAAATTGTGAAATGTGTGGCCTCAGGCTCAGGGGTTATAGGGATTAAGGATGTGCGTTGACCTTGAACTAAGGTCATTTGGTCAAGTTTAAGGTCACTTAAAAAATGTTCAATTCATTACTTGTAATGGAAAACATTGAAAGCTCATAAACAAGCAAGTAGTTCATAGTTCTTTTAACTTTACCCTAGGTCATTCTTACAACTTCTGGGTCATTTGCAAAGAAATGTTACTTTTATTGAGTCCATATCTTTTCAATGGAGACCAATCTAAAATGCATATATTGCATAAAGATTGCCTAAGTCAAGTTGTGTATTGACCTTGACCCCATGTCATTTGAAGAAGTTTAAAATTACTTTAAAAATAAAAAAAAAATTCATCAAGTTAATAATTTTCCAATATAAAGTATAGATTTGATATTTCACATCAAGATTCTTTGTATCATAGGGTGTTTCATGATTGTGAATAAAGGTTTTTTTTTGGCAAGTTCAAGTTTACTTTATGTATTAAAATACATTTTATATCACATTTGACCTGGTCATATCTTGTACAGATCTTAAACACTGAAACCTTATGAAAGCTTTCTTACAAGCAGAGGTTCTGTAAAGACCTTGAAACTATGGTCAAGTACGAGGTCGTCTAAGTGATGCCCATTCATTACTATTTCTGAATCAATGGAATTAGTGCTTCACAAACCAATCTTTCTTTCAAGATAACACTTTTTATGAAATAACTTTAAATCATACTGCATTTATTAATTGCATAAAATCAAAATTAACAATAACATCACAAAGTCAGAAAAATTAATTAGACATAGATTTATTTTGGTACATGCACATGATTTAGGTTCTTTCAAACTAACATCACAGGTATAAAATACAATGTTCTGAAATGAATTTCCATTCTTACAAATTCAATGAACTTTAGATATTTCATTTGATTTCCAAGTTTTCTGGCAATTTTTATCAAATATCACAGAGCAATAGTTTCTCTGCTTAAGTAAACATTTCCTACAGAAGAGGTGACCACAGGGGGCCCTATACAAGGAATCACTAGTCTGACTAGACCCTTCACAGCTACTACATTGGTTTTCTATCAACTTCTGAGACTGGTCAATCACATTAGAGGGTCCAGCATTGTCCTGAGACCTGTTCACTGTCTTTGTAAAGGATGGTAGCTGGCTAAGAATGTCTTTGAAAGCAGAGTTTATGCTCTCTTTTAGCTCCTCCTCATGAGATTTTGTCTTTGCTAACTCTTTGCCAATAATTGAGGCCTTTTCATCTTTTGTCAGGTCTATCACACAGTTTGCTGTATTACATGTACTGACAAGAGATTGTGTGTTAATTGTATTATTTTCAGTGTTCCTAGATCTTTTGCCTTTGATGTCAGAACATAGCTGTGTATTCTTCCTCTTTCTGGAGTCCTCTTTCTGAAGCTTATTTCTATCAGACACATTTTGCTCACAATAAGTATTATTTGCTCTCATTTCAGAGCTTTCTACCAGTGTGCTTGTTTTAGGTTCATTTTCTGCATAAACAGAAGAATTGTCTGTTTTTCTACCAAGTGTTCTAGGTATATGCTGAAGTTTGTCACCATTTTCCAGCATGAATTTGTCAATGCGAAGTTTCAGATGTACATTTGGCAATGGTTTGTTTTTGTTGTCATAGGGAACCCCTGTAAATGGGTCACTGGGTAATCTACCCCATGATGCCTCTACAGAGTTGTGTTTCTCCAAAGTTGATTGGTCAATATTTTTTCCACATGGTAATACGATAGGCACTGACATAATTTCACAGGATATGGCATCAATAAAATCTTCTGGAACCTCCACCCCACCCTCTAAATGTAAAGTGCTTCTTGTCAGTTGAACACTAGTTTGTTTTGAATAACATTTTTCCGTCTGGTTTCCATCTGAATGCAATTCCTCACAAGAAGTCTGACTAGAAACATTACTCTCTTTAAATGATGGCACTAAATTAGACACAGTTCTACTTAGGAATAAGCTATTTAATTTTTCTCTAATTGACCTTGGAACTGACCTGGAAGGTTGACCCCAGACTTCAATACTTTTTATAGCAACAGATCTTCCAGCTGCAGTTCTTGTAACCCTTATATTCAGATCACTCACAAAACTTAATGCTCTAGCATTCCTTCCCCTGAGTTCTACATGGTGTTTATAAGTTGATTTGGGAAAAGATTCAACTTCATCTGAAGACAAAGGCTGAAATTGTCGGTTTTCAAAGCACACAGTGTCAGGGTCTGTAAGCTGCACTCTTCCAATAGGTGAAAACACTGCACTTACAATAAATTCATAAGCATTTTTGTCCTTGAGTGAAACTTCAGAAACATGTTCCCACAGAGGGCCTGTCCTTACTTGATTACTTCTGCTATAAAGTTCTAATCCAGATGACTTTTGGGCACTCACACATGGATTTATAATAATCTTCTGGATCTCAATGTTACAAGGAAATGAGAGAGTGATGGTTACTGGGGGTTTGATGAAATACTCTCCCAGGAATCCCTTCTGTTTGTTATGTAAGTCTTCTGAGATCAGATTCTTTATGTCGTATCCATCTACAGATATTTTATCACAGCTTATTTTTGGATAAAGGTGACTGTCACAAAAATTGAGAAGCATGGCCAGAGAAACTTCCAACCAGTGAGCAGCTCATTCACTTCAGAGATCTGCTGAAAGAAAAAAGCTTTGTAATAAAAAGCAAACATACAATCATTTCAATGACATGGAAATGACACCCATTAATAATTCCAACTGCAAAACTATGAAACTCAAAGAACACAACAATTGGGAACATTCACAAATAAAGGACGCTTTTAAATCTATTTTCTTCAAACAAATGTTTGCATTTAGTAGAATCTTATTCAGTACAGTACTTTTCTTACTAACTCAAAGAGGAGTGGGACTAAAATGGTAGTGAAACTCGGGCCGTGAATTTTGAAACCAAAAACCATGTTTTTGATAATAACGAAATAAATACTTATTCTTTCTTCATGAAATTTACGGACATATTTTATAACCTCAAGATTTGCCTTCACTGTGAGTTTTTACTCAAAATGTTGTGTTTTTCAATGATTATCGCCGATTGTCCTTTTCCAGGTGACTAAAATGGGTAGCAAGCCCGATTTACTCATTTTGGCGATTTAAAATTAATTTTGACAGCATATTTACAATTACTTCGTTGGTTCTTTGAAATTCAACTTAAACTTCTTAAAACATATAACTGTTGTCGTAATATATCCGGATTATTAAAAATATTTGCATTTTTTGAATACCTGTGACTGGCCAAAACCAGACACGTTCACCCAGGATGAACCTTTAATTTCCAAAATACTTATTAGAGGATGTTAGTTATCATTTACATGACATTGCCCAGCACTAAGAATATACAATACTAACTTAAACATAAACATTTTCGTCACCTGAAAATGGACTACGGGCGATAATTATTGAAAAACACAACATTTTGAGTTAAACCTCTAAGTGAAGGCAAACAGTATGATTGTAAACTATGTCTGTAAATTTCATGAAGACAGAACGAGTATTTTTTCTGTAATTGTCAAAAACACAGTTTCAGTTTCGAAATTCCCGGCCTGGCCTGGGATTCGCTACCCATTTTAGTAGCACTCCTCAAAGAGCTTGAAACAGGTCCAGGAAAATCACTATATTTATCTATATAACTTAATTTCATAAAGCAGAAACTTATTATAAAATAGCTAAATAAAGCTACATTATATAGGTAAATAAAGCTATATAGGTAAATTAAGCTATATAGCTAAATATAGCGATTTTCCTGGACCTGTGAGAGATCAGTCATATATGTATGACACAGGTAGATCTAGACAGACATCTCGGCCCAATGACACCTCGGCCGGTGACGGTTGACACCTCGGCCCTGACAGATCGGCTAAAAATTATTGACAGGTCGGCCCATATAAAAGACACCTCGGCTCAAGCAAACTTTTGCTGTAGAAAAAAATAATTTACATTATTAAACATGTTAAATACATGTAGTAAATTATTCTTTCTCACGATTAATTCTTTTCTATCTAAAAATCGAATCGGGAAGGAGGGTAAGTCATTTCTTGCATGCATCTCTTTCCTGTGGAAATGCACAATGTAAATTGCTGGGAGCTCGATAATTAAATTTATATGAATTAAAATTTTCTTAATGTACAAAATGGTTTTAACTAATAATTAACTTTCATGAATGTTTTTATAAGATATGTTGTAGATGATTAATATTCAATGGAGCCTGCTCGTAATTTAACCCCTCATCATCACCAGTATGACACGAAGTTCGGCGGAACTTGACCCGTGACACTCCATAGAATGTGCCGCGGCCATTTGTTTCTTTAGCAATTAACTCATTTAGCACCTTAATTACATGTATGTTTGCTCATTCCTCGATTAAATCAAAAGGGTCGGGGATGTTTCTATAATTAAGAAAAAAATAATCGTTTTTTGTTTATTTTTTTTTGATAAATATCTTATTTTCAAAGTCGCAAAGTCTGAAATCGAAAATATGATATACAGTGTATTTTTCAATAAAATTCTGTTTGGGCCGAGGTGTCTTATAGGTTGGCCGACATTTCTTCAATCTTGGGCCGACCTGTTTTCACAGTCTTGGCCGATGTGTCATTGGGCCGAGATGTCAATGGGCCGAGTTGTCGTTGGGCCAAAGTGTCTGACATTCATCACACAACAAAAACGCCAATTCTGTCAGAAATTCTCTCCACAGCAGAACAGTTTGCTTACCCCCAAAAGGGCCTAAAAACCCCTGTTATTTAACACCAACTAAGGATATAAATAACGAATCTCTGCTCCAAAATATCAACAAAGTCATTTACAAAAATTTTTCTTCTTGTCATAATGTCAAATTATAACCGGAAATCCAAAGCGCTGAGTAAAATAAAAATGATTTTCGGTTTTAACAAATTGTCCAAAAAAAAAGAGAAGATAAACCTTATAATTTAGAATAAAATACTGTTATATTCGAAAACATTTTTTAACTCATTTGAGAAATTATGGATAAAGATACTTTTTAGTACGTCTCAATCCACGAATATTCACGATGATTCATTTTCGGCTATTAGCCCAACCTTCCGGAATAAAAGTTGACAGCTGGTCAAACATGATGCAAGGATAGTGTCAGAAAAAAGATCAACAACATGACAAGCTTACAGAAATTACCTTTAATATTTGGGAGATGTGTTTTTCGTGCAAGAAACTCAAGGGAGGTTGAAAGATTTTGCATTAAGTGCAACATGTGCAAGACTAATTTTCATTCTCAGAGATCTGGGATATCAAACAGAGACACATTGTCTGCTAGAAATCTGACATACAAACATGTATCAACTTCATTGCTATCAGCTTGTGCCATTTATTATTTATTCAGAAAATATGACGATAGTGAAGGTGTGACTAATTACTTGGAAAACCTCAAAACTGCTTTTAAGAATGCCTATGTAGTGAGTGCAGCTGGTCCTAGTGGTGGGATGAGGTCCCAGTTTAATTTTATTGCAGACATCGTGGAGAAAGCCCAGCCTGCTGTTGTCTTCATTGAAGTTGTCAAAGGAAGGGGATTTAGGTACGTGTAAATGTAATATGTTTCACTGAATTCATAAAAAGGGGATGAACTAAAATTTTTCACCGTTTCCTATATCTGAACACGAATCATAAAAATATAGATTTATTATTGATAGTTTGATCCTCATATTTCTCTTGTCTCTCCTCTACTTTTTTTATTTTATAGTCAGATTTGTTTTTCTTTGCATACTTTAGCAAGGTTACTGTGCAAGACTTTGAATTAAGAAGTTTTCTTTTCCATTTGAAGGCGGATGAGTTCAAGTGGTTCCGGTTTTATTGTTCGATCTGACGGTTTAATCCTGACCAACGCTCACGTCGTGGCAGGTGCCTCCCATGTCCACGTTTACCTTAATGACAACAAGAAAGTTCAGGGGGTCGTGCAGGCCGTCGATCAAGTCTGTGACCTTGCTACAGTCAAAGTTCAAGCAGTATGTAGGACAAGGTCAAATATATTCTATGATTCATATTTCCAAAAACTAAGAGGAAGATTAATATCATGACTATGGGATGAAAACAAATTTCTGTGTTAAAATTTTAATGATGTACGGGAAAGTATAAATCCTTGAGTATATGCAGTAGGATTTAGAATATTTATCTCAAAGGTAATGTATTTTAATATGGCTTACAAATGTATCATGTACCTGTAATTTGCATTCTTGTTTGATTTTATAGCATGGATTTTATTTTCCAGAGAGACCTGCCGACTCTCCCCCTGGGTAAGAGTGGAGAGGTGAGGCCTGGGGAGTGGGTGGTGGCCCTGGGAAGTCCATTTAACCTTCAGAAGACAGTCACCGCGGGAGTCGTCAGTAATCCGGGGAGGGAGACCATGGGGAATCTGACCAGTAGTCCCCCCATGATACAGCACGATGCAGTTATCAATGTAAGTCAAAGTCCCTCTCCACCATGATACAGCATGATGCTGTCGCATCCATTGATAAAACATTCATGCAAGTTTGGTCTGATTCATTGTTTCAAGCCACAGGTTTTTTTTCTATTTTCAATGTAAGTCAAATTCCCCCATGATACAACATGATACCATCATTAATGTAATTAAATAAGTCGAAAATGGGCACCAAAATATACCTTACTCCTATCAAAAAGTTGGGGAGTTGACCATGTAAAACTGTGATCTTCTTCATCAACTAGTAAGAGTGAACATCCTTCATCCATTTTATAAATCTGTAATGTGAATCAATGTATATATCAATGCCGCTTTTATATTTTAACCCTGTATTTCTTTCATGAAAGTCAATTGAAGTAAACAGATCATCTTATGCAGTTAATGCATGGCTTCACACTCATTGTTTGTCTCATTTCCTGACATTCTAATAATGCCTTAGATTTTATTTCTAGGTTGGTAATTCTGGTGGCCCACTTATAAACTTGGTAGGTATTGGATTTTGCTATATAATCTTTATTTATACAAACCATATAACGTAGTATCTCAGACTGAAGACACTGTGTAAACTGACCTTCTGTTTTTTAGGATGGTGAAGCTGTTGGAATCAACACTATGACCTTGACCTCTGGTATCTCATTTGCTTTACCTGCAGATTTAGCTGTGGATTTCCTAAACAGAGCTAAGAAAAGTAAGAACATAATTTCCAGGGTCAAAGTTGTTTGTTATATTCTATACCACCCATGAATATAGCCAGGTTATATAGTGTTTGTTATTCTTGTCTTTTGTCCTCCTATCTTTTCATTATTTCCCTCTTCCTGTCCTTTGATATATAGGTCCACAACACTTTGTGGTTAGCTTAGTTTCAAACAATATGTTCAAGATATTTCAACTCAAATTCATACATTGCTACATATTAATTATTCATGAAAACTATTCAAATTTTAACTTTGATCTCCTGTGACCTTGACCTCACTATTAATACTTTTTTTTCTTTTGTTTCAGAGTAACTTAAAGTTTTTATCAAAACTCACACATTGAATTTTGTTTACAGTTTAGGGAATGATCTAGATCAATATTTACAATGATCTACATTTGTTTACAGTTGAGGGAAGGTTTCCATCATCTCCCCCTAAGAGAACGTATGTAGGACTCAGTGTCATATCCTTGACCCCTGACCTCCAAATGAACCTTAGAAAGAGAGTGCCAAATTTTCCTACCAGTGTGGAGCAGGGCATTCTGATAGTGTCTGTCATATCAGGCTCACCAGCCCAGAGGTATAAATAGGATCCTCGTGTATTGCCTTTATTTAACTAAAAGTTAACTTTTGCTAAAACAATACATGTACCTGTTATTACAAATGGTTCAGCTAGAACCAGTTTGAACTGAGTTATAGATGTGCCTAGTTCATCTAGCCAATTCATTTATAGATTTGCATTATAATGATTAATATGAATTCAATGGCATCAATTGTTTTCAGTATGCTAAACATAACTCTAGGTATCCAATAACTGTATATAACAGCTGATTTTAGTGAAGATTCCTGTGTAGATGTAAATGCATGAAATCATCAAAGTCCTTCAGAGAAATATTTACATTAACCAGTGATGATATACATTTACAGTGCTGGACTACTTCCAACAGATGTCATAACACACATAAACAGAAAGCCAGTGACCTCGACCTCAGACTATTTCAAGGCCATTGAGACAGGTCAGGAGCTGACATTACAGATAGCTCGGGGCAACGCTTTATTTACCATCACTGTTACCCCAGAGGAAGTGGATTAATATGTGATAACATCTATATCTGTTTATATTTTTAAAAGAGTTTGCTTGCATGATTTTTTTTAAACATGATGGCATTAAATTATCAATATCAAAATGTGTTGCTTTTGCATGAATTAAATATATGTTCTTCTCAAATAGCATCATGATCAGTAAAGCTGATAAAATCTATTCTGATATCAGCAGGAGACAGAAGAGAGAAATGGTTAATGCATATACTTTGTGTAAAACCTGATGTCAGTTCCTGTTTTAGTGTTTATCAGGCATCTGTCTATACCACATCAACATTACAGCAGCCAGGGTACTGCAGAAGTACTTTTTCCATGTGGTATTAATTTACGCTACGTACGGGGTCACAAATTTTCCATGGAAATTTGTCCACGCATTCTTAATATAAATGTAAGGCATATAGTGACAGTCTAGGAAATTTGCGTGATTTTTTATAAGTGGATTAAACTGAAATGGAGATTCTGCAGAATTATGACCCCGTGGAAAAAACTACTTGTACTTAACACTGATGCACATCCTTTTTGTCATATTAATAATTCTACACTGACGTACAAATTTGCACAAACAGTTTTAATAATGCAGAGGTTACATATCACAAATAGGAATAACATACTACATATGACTGATAGATTACCATCAATATTAATTCACACTTTATATCACCCAAAAAGAAATGAAAGAAGATGGAATGGACATGTTAATGATATTCAATACAACCAATGATTTACTATTAAAACCAACCTTTTAACTGTTAATTTCACAAAAAAAATAAAATACAATTTTCAAAATGCATGAATTTTATATCAAAATTTGATGAACACCTCATACATTTGTTAATACACATGTATCTACATTTAGTATCACACATGATACCTACAGTGTAACTGATCAACAATGCCTATAAATTTAACTTATAAGCCTGTCAATAATGAAAATCCTAAAAAGAATGATTCAAATAAATAGCAGTTTAGGCTGAATTAAATGTATGAAATTTTTCATAGAAAAATAAATACAACTGCCCAATTTTTAGAGCCTTTGTGTACAGGATCACATGTTTTTTTGTTAATTCATGTTTAAATCTATGATGTAGCTCTTCTGCAATATCTTCCAATTTGAGGTAATTTAAGTCTGAAACATTGAGTCCTGACTAGACCCAAGGAAGCAGAATGATCACTGATAGTTAGGGATGTAATTCCCCGAGCTCGTGGCAGATACACTGCTATCACTGCTTGGTACATAACTCGGTCGAAATCCTGACATCTTCTGAAGATCCTTGGCTGCTTTGTGCATCTTTGCCACAAAATCTATTCCTGTCGAGATAATAAAATAATCTCTGAATTACAACCATTGATTCTACAGAACTGTTGGGACACCGCTTTTTTTTATGTGTACATATTCAAAATTTAGCGCAATCACTAGGTATGGAGTTCTTGGTGTCATCATGAATCGTATATATATATAAATGATTTAGCGGTATTCATGAATTAGCGCATCATTGTCGCGCCAAAGCCGCAAAAAAATTTAGCCCGCTTTTATAAGTACACATACAGTATGTCATTTTTACTATTCAATACACTTCTAATCTTAACATGTAGCTGTGCTGCTTTTCTGACTGCCTGCTTTGACTTGCACTTAGCATGTATGCCATAAATCAGAGCCGATTCACTACAGAAAGAACCTTAGACACTTACCTATACTGGTGGCAAAGCTGAAGGCAAGACTAGAATACATCAACTGAGGATCATCATGGTATGTCATCACATACTCAAGGCCGTTCTGTAAAGAGAGCAATATGACATTATTTTTTAAAAAATAATCTCTACAGCAACTTGTCCATATGAAAAAACACAATTCTTAAATGTAATAATCCCCATGAATGTGACACTTCCCATATTTTATTAAAGGAGAGAGAACTGTGTCTTTGTGAAATTAACTAGGAACTGCAATTTACTGTAATTCTGCCATTAGCAAAATGTTGCACACTTTCACTTTTGGATTATTCTATCAAGGAGCATAATTGTCTTTGAATTTTCAATAATGTAGACTTAAATCATGAAATCCTAAATAAACTGTGGCCTTTATATAAATATACCTCCTCGAATGTGGTGTTAGGTTTGATGACCATGTAGGAGCTGTAGGGATCAACTCGGACAAAGTCGTTCTTCTTCGGACACTCGGGGTGGTCCACTGCTCGGGCCACAAACGCCATCACATTCCTCTCCTTGTCAATCTGTAGAAACAAAGATGTTATGGGTTACACTGAACATGGTATCATCCTATATGTCATATCTAAAATCATATACCTAAGATCCTTAATCTATGGATTTAGAAGCTAAACTTACTTTAAATCTCCTAATGTAAAGAAATTCCCTGCTATACCATGTTGCCTGCAGAAAAATAAGAAACTGATCAATGAGAGTTCATTCTGGGTTAAAAACAGATGAACAGACAATTTTTACTCTCAGCCTTAATATAAACACTTTTAGCAGGTTTGTCCCCAAGACCAAGAGGCTAGTGATTTTCCCTGCCTATAATGATGTAATCCAATTTTGGTATTCCTTCTAAAATACTTCCTTTGGCAGAGGAACATAGGATCCCCCTCTACTTTTCAAATGCCCCACCCCTCTATTTCAATTCTTATGGACAACCCTGCTTAAAATAATTCAATCAATGACTGTAGCCAGCTGTAGATCTCACCGGATAGTCAGTAATCCACTGGACCACCTCCGACTTTGACACAGGGTCTTGATCAATGACCTCCAGTTTTACAACATAATGATCCCACTTCTTCCTGTAGTCTAGGTCAATCTGTCAAATGAAACAAGATCAAGTCAATAAATTGCAATGAATGTATTTTGAAAATAGCTCACTTTCAATTCAGAGACCTTTAATTTAATGGAAGAAGAATCTACATTGTAGACATTTTCTGAAAGCAACAGATTTCATACGAATACATGAATGGCATTCAATTTATTACAGAAAGAGAGAGAGGGGGGAAGGGGAACAGAGAGAGAGAGAAAATGTTAATCCATTATTAAATACACACTGACCTGTACTTGATAAAATGCTGAGGGAGATACATCATCATACCTTCCATAAACTGTGAATGAAATACACACATAAACTTGGAAAAAGTAAAAAAAAAATTCATAGTAAAGTATCAAACATTGAATTTCAGTATGGTTTAATTCAATAAGAAATTATTCTATGTGGAATGAATCATGTATAGAATTATTGACTTTAATTATTTTTTTTATTATTTTAAAGTCTTTAATTATATCAAACAGATGCATAAATTTATGATGACAGTTTTATGATCACATTTTGTGGTGCTAAAATTATCGTTTTCATTTGAAATCAGTATAAATTTCGTGCAATCATGGTATGGCTGATGGAAGTTACAATGTTCCTCAAAATGTTGCTGTGCAGTTTGTTTTAAACTTTTCAACAAGAAAGGGTTTTTCAGTTGTCAGAGAGTAAATTGAAAGGTTTCCAACCAGCCATGGCGGTGACGTTGACGCGTAACAGCGTCACATCAAGACAGGGCTTTTCATCATGTCACCTCGGTTGTTGTCAAGGTATTATCACTGAAACCGATATTTATACAGCAAACGATCATTCCAATATTTTCACCCTAAAATTGTGCTCTAATTTGGTGTGGCAACTTTTACGTCAATTTTACTCTCACGCGAGCACGTACACGTCGTGTGCGTAATGTTTTTAGCATTTTCAGTGATGGTTCATTTACTGAAATAAGAAAATTGTGGCACTCAGTCTTTGAATAATACAGCTTCTATCAACCATTAAGACTATTGTCGGAAGAGTTGAATAATAATCAAATGAGAAAGATAAATGTGGGAACTCAATGCACAGGAAAATCAAGGCTGTTACCAATGTGCAAGGGAGATTATGAGAATTTGGTATCGACATATCAATTTCAATAACTCAGGAATTATCAGTCAAAGTCACACAAGATTTTGGTAACTTGTAGATTAAAGATGAATTAAAATGTTTGATAACAATACTGGAAATCATCGAAATAATATTTTTAATTTAGTTTAAAAGGCTCTTTGTATATTTAACAGCTAAAATGACACATTGCAATATGATTATATTGTTAGATTAATATACACAGAACATGTAGAATGTCCAGGATAAATTTTGTAAGCAATTAAATTATTAACTGATTGATATAGGTTGGTGAAGTAAAGAAATCAATATGATGTTACTGTCCAACTATATTAGAGTAACTGTTTTATATGGTTTAATTTTTATATTTTCTTTTAATTATCTGGCAATGCCGCAAATTAGCTTTTCCAGTCTATATAAATCTGCCTTAGGTCTACAAAGAATTTGTAGGCTAATTATCATAAAACATTTAAGGATCTAAAATAATTAATAATGTGCAGAACACATGAACTTATACAATGCACATGCACACAAGGTAGAAAAGCAATGTACATCAAGCTTTCTGTCATATGCATTAGCATCAATAACCTTGAAATGTCTTGATCTGTGATGTTTTCTTCCTTCCATGAGAACAGGGATGCTGCAAACAGAGCAGAGAGTTGTGGCCCCTTCCTGCTCCAGAAAGCATTCCTTAGACTCTGTAGAAACCTGATTAGAGACTTGTGGCCATGCGTGTTCTCGTATTCGATCGTCCGCCGAATTTTCTGAGCAATCACTCCTTTGTATTGAGTTTTCACTTTCTCAGAAAAAGTTTTAAAATTTTCAGTGATGTAGTCGATGTATGCACGGTAAAGTGGATGCGCTTTCAGCCTCACTGACACACGATTTAAAAGCTCCGATCTCTCCCTCTCAGAATTGTGGTTCACCCTGACGATCCTTTGGGAAAACCTACGGAACGCTAGATAAAGTCCCTCTGGCGCCATGGTTTATAGAATTTGAGGTGTTTCTGCTCTCCTGTTTTGTAATGAACTTGAAGGTTATCAAACAATCAAGTGGACCATGTGTGCCGGAAGTACTACGCGTGGAGTATAATGACCCGAAAACCCTAGGTACCTGTGCATCGTTACAGCCCTATGTCAGAACAAGGTTAGCTTTTTTAAAAAAAGCTGAGAGTCAGCCATTGGAATACAGAAAGTTTCTTTCTTGTTTTGTAATGGTTTATGATTTGGTCTATCCATCATGTTGTGTTCCTTAAATGTAATAAATGCCATTGTAAGTGTAACAGTTAAGGAGAAAATGCATGGCTGGACCGGGAATCGAACCCGGGACCCCTGTATCACTAGTCAGGTGCTCTACCGATTGAGCTATCCAGGCCGATATCCACGGCCCTAACCATTACATTCCTCCCTCCTTAAAGGTCTTTGGCCCTCCAAAGACCCCAACCCAGGCTCATCCCTGGCAGGTCTTTCACCTGTCAATTCCAGGGCATGGCACGGCACCAAATCTAACAGGAAAGGAGAAAATGTATGGCTGGACCGGGAATCGAACCCGGGACCCCTGTATCTCCAGTCAGGTGCTCTACCCACTGAGCTATCCAGGCCGATATCCACGGCCCTAACCATTACATAAGAAAAGTTAAATTCTATAACAATAATATAGATTATGATGAAATATAAATTCAAAATATGTTTATACATGCAGTACGTATACCATAATAGCAAAACAGTTCTCTCAGCTATCTCATTTCCACTGTGGTCAATTTTTCACATGTGGGCGCGGTTCATGTGCACAAGCGGCACTTACACGTCTATTATCATGTAAATTATTAGAATTTAATGTCTTACAATGGTCTTCTGATTTTTTTACAACTTCCATCATTAGAGTGGAAAGAAATTGATCTTTTTTTTTCTTTTTTTTTTTTTTACTATTTTGGGACCTTTGTGGCAAGTGGATTGTTGTGTGAATTCCGATCCGTACATGTCTTATGCAAGGTATTGAATATACATTGTACATCGAGGGAGTCTTGAATCAGGCATCCAGAGGAATACACAATTTTTAAAAATCTTCGGCTTGCAATGGCGATTTCGGGAATAAATGTACTTATCTTCTATTAGAAGCAATGAAATATTTTCATAGTATCATTTAAAAACTGACAAATATCCCATATAGAAGCTGAACAGTCTATGTCATTAATTTCCGTCGAGAACGACGAAGAACAATGCAGGCTATAAATAGATCGAGGTCGTGAGTGTGCGTGAAGAAGCACTCCCTCTGGTTGGAGAAAATTGTGCAAATCTTTTTCCCAGAATTCCGATTAACGCAAGCGCACTTGCAGTTTCATCCTAACGTAACTAGTCAGCCCGGGGGCTGACTAAATACTTAAGGAATGAATTTAATAGCTACCCATTTTATACGGTATAAACTGAGTTGGGACAGTTTACGCTTTAATTATAAACCGCGAAGCGGTTTATAATGTATATGTTTATTCACCAATCAAGGGCCCTCGGGGGGCATGAACAAATTATTGCATTATGAATAAAAAAAGCGTAAACTTTTCCAACCCAGTTTATACCGTATAAAATGGATAGCTATTAATTTCATTGCTTATAATTTTCAGTAATTTGATGTAAGAAAAAAAGACGATTGTTCTAACAAAATGACTTCAGTTAGTACAAAATTTGAATGTAACGTCAGGCGGATTGATACGTTTTTGACGCAAGTCATTGTGACGTAGGCAACCCATTTTATACAATATAAAGTAAATTTTTTATCCAATCAAATACAGCGTTACAACCAGAATTAAATTATATGAAAATGTAGCCTTGTTTTTTTCCCATTGGTTATACTGTTTCTATAAAATTAGTTATAATGAAGTCATTGTCTGAAGACATTTTTTTAATTTGATATCAGAAAAATAATAGGGCTGTTTATAGATATCAGAAAATCATCTTTGATTTTTAAAAATCAACTACTGATACCCAATAAGCTCTCTGTGATATCAAAACTTTAAGAGTATTTTTTAAACAAAAAATACATACTATGAAATTGTCACAGTTTATATATTACATGTATATATAAAATGTATAAAATTAAACCTACCCAAAACGTACCGCGAGTCCCTCCACCGAAATGGCAATTTATTTGATTTTTTTTAATACTGAAAAATTAAACAAAATTTTAGAATAAGTTTCAGACATGTTTCAGTTGAAGCTTGTTTTGTCGTACGAAACTGAAATATCCATGAGTTTCGCGACCTTCTTTATTATTAATATTAATTGGCGCGAAGTCTTTACTTTCAACTGTCAACTTCGAGGACAAGAAATCTATTTCAGTCATGCAACCATAAAATTCCTTCTGGTTCCATTTTTATTTCGATCTTTTTTGGGCTTTGTACACTAGCTCAATTCCTAGTACCCCTTCTAGCTTTTGATGCACAGCTCCTTTTTCAAACACGGCTGTTATTAGATTTTAATTGAATGATATTTTTTATTCACTATTAAAGTATTCTAATTATATAACTAAGATCTTTTATATTAAATTTTCAATATATATTAAAAAAATTTCATAGAAAAAGTCCAGAGGCACTCGACGTTACTAAATTTTTTAGGTAGGGGTGAATTTTTTTAATTTTAAGGATATTAGTATGACGTCAGCTGCCTGTGATGTAGTCTATAATTACAAAATGACCAGATACCAGGTATGATAAAATTTATAAGCATGGTAACTGCATGCAGACTGCTAATTCATTGTACAGCATTCTGAACTCAAAATTTATTGCCTGACGTCACGGCGTCAGGCTGTATAAGGATTGATATTTCCAAGATCCGAAAGTGTGCGATCATATCTAGAGAGCTAGATTTTGTGCAAGCTGATTAACAATGGAAATCTTTACCTGCATTTTAAAAGAAACATTTTTCAAAAAAAAAAAAGACATGATATTACTGATGCAAAATACTGCAGTGTTTACTTCCTATACTCTTTTTTGCATGGAACAGATTATTCCATGTAATTGGCCGTTTCAACATTTCCGTGTATCCTTTTTTCTGTCTTTCTATACTACTGGATCAGTCCATTAATATTCTACCAAAGGGGTGAATTGCTCTATTCGCGCCAAACGTCACTATAGTAAGCTATATCCGCCCCTTATCCTTGGATTGTTCTATTGTATGAATGGGTGTGCTAACTTCCATGAAAACTCTTTCTTATGCTTTAGAAATTCTATCTACAAGTTTTACATCTATGTTTAAAACAATATCGTATGTACACATCAGTTTTTTTGACATGCAACACTAAAGAAATGATTTCTTCTAATTTGTTTCTCGATCCCGCGGTTGGTTTATTGCATAAATGGACTGGTCCAATAAAAATAAACAACGCAGTTCAAATCATCGTCTCCATGCAGATGCCTGATCTATCATGTGGCTCTGTTAAGATGCACACAATAAATAAGAAAGCAGTGGAAATTCTTGGATTTTTCTTTCCACAAGGCCTAAATATTGAATTCTCAATATAGTGTCACACCCCCCCCCCCCCTTTTAAGAAAAAAATAATGAACATATGTTACTACTGTTTACTTCAGAGGAGAAAATACACTCCAGAAAAATGTGTAATTAATTATATCCATCTTTTAAAATGTATACAATGCATGATTTGACAACAGATTTTATAATAGGTGTTACAATGTAGCTTGAAATCAACTTAGATCCAAGGGCAGGTCACTCCACTTGAACCCCCCCCCCCCCCGAATAACACTCTTTAGTATGCAGTGTAGAGATGATTCTTCTACAAGTTAAACCAGAAGTCTCTGTCGAGACTGAAGCTCTACTGGATTTTACGTAGCAAAGAAAGAGAAAAGTAGAATTGAAAATTGGGAATTGAAACTTTACAACAGCAATAAAGTCTAAGAAAAATGATCCTTGATTAAGTCTCTTTATGTTCTTAGCATAGTCTACTTGCATGCCACATTGTATTATAATCAGACTAAAACTGTATTTGGGATAATATTTTGATAGTATATTACAGAAATTTCTATCTTTAGTAACCAAAGGCAATATATTGTTCATCATGTTCATCAAAATCAAAAAATGATATATAGAATAGAATTATGTTTCTTAGTGTAGTCTACTTCTGTGGAAAATTATATTGAAATCAGAACAAAACTGTACGAGGCATAGTATTTTGAAAGTATTTCACAGAAAGTTCTATGTTGAGTAACCATGGCAACATCGTTCATAAAAATCGAAAACTAATAAACAGAATTGTGCATCCCAGTGTAGTCTGCTTGTGTGTCAAGTTATATTGAAATCAGACCAAAACTGTAGGAGGAGTAGCATTTTGAAACAATTTCACAGAAATTTCTATTTTCAGTAACCACGGCAACACCTTTCATAAAAATCGAAAACCGATAAAGAGAATAATGTATCTTAGTGTAGTCTACTTGAGTGCCAAGTTATATTGAAATCAGACCAAAACTGTAGGAGGAGTAGCATTTTGAAACAATTTCACAGAAATTTCTATTTTCAGTAACCACGGCAACACCGTTCTTAAAATCAAAAACCGATAAAGAGAATAATGTATCTAAGTGTAGTCTACTTGTGTGCCAAGTTATATTGAAATCAGACCAAAACTGTAGGAGGAGTAGCATTTTGAAACAATTTCACAGAAATTTCTATTTTTAGCAACCATGGCAACACCGTTCATTGAAATCACAAACCGGTACACAGAATAATGTATCTTAGTGTAGTCTACGTGTGTGCCAAGTTATATTGAAATCAGACCAAAACTGTAGGAGGAGTAGCATTTTGAAAAATTGTTTAAAGAGACAGACGGACGGACAGCTGGACGGACGCATTACTATCGCATAAGCTCTTCTGGTCTCTGACTAGTAGAGCTAATAAAATCAAGATTTGAATTACACAAGTTTCTCAAAATATAAAGTTGGGACATGTTTTAAACCTACAAAGGTATTTATGCTCAAAAGGTTTATCACTCTTCATGCAGATAAATTGATTGATTTAGTCAGGCAAGCTTTTTAAAAAGCTGTTACTTGTACATATTTCTAAGTTTACATACAATTCCTAGTTACTGTCATCTCATCATATTGCCAAAAGAACAACTTTCATTCCATACATTTCCGAAAAAATGTTTCAGCAGGGTTCTATTTTCCAACATAGAAACAAATTTACACCCAACAACCCCTTTCTCTTATTAAAAGAATATTTTCTTTAAAAGTAAGTTAGAAGTTAATTCTCTGTAAGAAGGAGCTTTTCTGGCAAAATCTGATCTATTTTCAAGAATAATATATAGTTGCTGACATGGGCCGGTTCTCGGGCAACAGTTGATCTGTCGGACCGGTGTGCAATAACAGTTGCACGCGGCCTACGGCCTTGACAGATGAACTGTTGCCCTCAACCCCAAACAGTCAACTACTGTATAAATACTGGTATACTACATGTAATATGCCCAAATAGCATGCATGTTTATTAGTATTACATAAATTATTTTGTATATTGAGAAGCTGCAAACTCTAGCCTTTATTATGTTGCATGTAATAAAAATCATTTTTAAAAATTTAAAACGTGCGATTTCCTATTTTCATTATTCAGACTCATGTACCACAGGCACTTGTTTCGATACCAAATTTTTAACCCATCTTTTAGATTATTATACGACAGGTTAAAATTTCATTATTGAAACAAGTGCCTGTGACATATACCGGTACCTACAAAAATACATGATTCACAAAATACACCAAGCGCCTACGAATGAACACTTCATTGACATGCCGTGCAAAAAGTGCGATTAAATTCATCCTAAAATTAAAAAAGAACAACATTTAAATAAAAATATAAAGTTTTTAAAATCTGAACTACATGTATGTACATTTGACAAATCCTTTGTCTCAAATAGATTGAAGATGTGGTGTGTGACTCCCTCTGTAACTTTATATACGTAGTTACTGAGGTTCCACAAGCACGTTGGTGATCTGTCTGCTGAGTCCTGGCGGGGAGTTCCTAAAATTCTTACTGACAGAGAAGGAAGTGAACCGTCCATTCTCCCTGTCTCTCCGTACACAAAGGCTTCGGAAGCAAATTGAAACAACGGCAGGGGGGGGGGGGGTAATTGGAAGGATAAACCAACCAATACAAAGTTTTGAGGGACCGTCTCAAAATACAGGTACATTTACTATAGGATTATATAGGAAAATGCCAATTTTTAGCACTTTAAAGCAAATTATACAAATACTACAATAGACATTTTGTTCAAACTAAAATATATGATGAGTAATACAATATTATACAATATATATAAGAAACACAAAATTCTACCGTCTTGTTACTAGAGGGGGCATCTCAAAATGCAAAAAATTAGCGAGTTTTACTGTTTTTATAGAGTATTACAAAATATGACGTACATAATGGATTCAAATGAAAACATAATAAAAATATTGTATATATTCTCTAATTTCTATGTTTTAAATTTGAAGAGCGTATGTTTATTACTTTTTCTTTAATTATATTTTTATTACCCCTTTCTTTAAGAGCTACAGATTATCATAACGTTATCATAACGTCAAAAACACACTCCAACGACGTCAACCTACCTATCAATTGCAAAATCGGTTAAAAAATCAGTTATATCGAATTGTAATTACGTTTTTAGACCTATAATTTCTTAATTTTGATTAATTTTAATAATTAAGCGAAAAAGGTTGCATTAGAACAGTAAATACGCTTCATTTTACTATGATGCGCGAAATATTGCGCAATGGAAACTATAGTCGGCCCCCTTAAAGTTTAAAAACCTGTAGTAATCTAATGCTACGTCATTCAGGTAAGCAGCACAGAAACAAACATGGCTGCCAGTGATGCCAAAAAAATATTCACTGGGATCTCCTCTGGTGCACATTAAAACATGTGAATCCCATGAATCGCCTATTGATATTATATGTGAGGACTGTGATGAATTTATTTGCAGCAATTGTGCCAAAACAGACCATAGAGATCATGACTGGGAAACTATACCCACGGCAGCCAATCAAAGGCGAAGGGGTTTGCAGGAATTTCTGAAGAAGATCAAGGAAGAGGATCTGCCTGTGATTGATGAGAAGATGGAGAAGATTTCCCAGCAGATCACACAAAATAAAGAACTGTGTGACTCGGAGATTAAAAGACTACAGAAGTATTTTGATGAGATAATAGCTGAGATGACAAACTTCAAAAAACTTCAGGAAAAAAAAGTAAGGGATGATTTGGTAAAGAAGACTAACTAACTCAACCTGATTAAGTCTGAGTTAGAGAAGAAGAGGGGGATCGTTGATACTATGGAATTCATGGAGGAGAACAACAGCACCATGTCAGATTACAGCTTGATTGACAACCACAGAGAACTGAGGAAAATGCTGTCAGAATTGGAGGTTCATATGACAAGCTGTGAACATTCAGTTAGGATCGCTAGAAGTGAAATCAATAATATATAATTTAAGTCTTTGTTCGGAAAGATATTGGATTTAAGTGATATTGATTTGGCTCAGATAAACTCATTTCAATATGGAGATAAAGAAATATTTTCCTTGGAGGCAATAAGTGAAGACCAATGTTACATAGGAGAATTAAGATCACAATGCATAGAAAAGGTTAATCTACACGGCACAAAAGTACATAAAATTAGTATCACTGCTAATAACATGTGTGTGACTGATAATGGTGATGTTTATTTCACTAACTTCAGTAACAATTCCATCAGTTGTCTGTCAGCATCAGGATCTGTCTCTACAGTCATCAGTACAGGTCCACTGGTACCAGTAGGAATCTCTCAGTCAGTGGAGGTTGGACTACTGGTCACCTTGAGAGACAATAAATCAGTAATAAATCAGTTCCTGACAAATTAGACTCACATAGCAGACATCTGGTGAGACACATCACAGTAACAGGTGATGTCATCCATGAGTATGAGTACCAGGAGGACGGTCAGACCAGACTGTTTACATTGCCATATAGAGTCACACAGAACAGTAACCGAGATATCTGTGTTGCAATAACTTGCAAACCTTAGAAATCGTACTACAGGTGATCTAGTGATTATGTCTCCCTCTGGTCGTTTGAAGTCTACCTACCGTGAACCTGACAGAGGACTTCAATCCAACTGATGTAGTGTGTGACTCCCTCTGTAACATCCTTGTTACTGACCCACCTAACAAACAGATCCATTTGCTGAGTCCTGATGGGGAGTTCTTAAAGTTCTTACTGACAGAGAGAGAAGTGAACCTTCCAGTCTCATTGTCTCTGTACAAGTCGATCTACACTGTGGGTGGGATGCAATGATGGACTTATCAAAGCGTTTTAGTACAGACTGTAAATAGAATATGCATGGATGGATTGTATGTTCAATGAGCATACAAAGAGCATTAAATATAACTTATAATTATACTCCATTTTTCGTATGCAAAGCGTCTTTTACTAAAATCCTGAAGTGATGTCATCATCGAAAAGTTATCCAGCCAGGTTCAAATAAATATAAATCATATCTAAAATTTGCCAGAAGGTTTAACTGAGTCAAGCACATTAAAAAATGTTTTAATATGGTCGATGTTAACGCCTTTAGAAAATAATCAATTTTTCTTAAAGAGTGTTAACTTGGTTTTAACAATTTCATTTAAAGTTGGCATAATGATATACCCTAGTCTCAGGAGCCAACTTTTTGACTGACTTCATACAATTATTAGGCCTACGATTTTATACTTAGTTTGATTACGATATATGTGTGTTTCATCTACCTAATCGATTAATATACATATAGACCTCAAAGCTGATGTGACAGGACAGCAGGAGATGCTCACCCCCTTTTGGTACCTTAATCCACCTTTGGAATTTCCTTTGGGTGTGGGGACCCGTGTTAATGCTGCTCTGTTCACAGAATTGTATTGATTTTAGTTTTTAACGTTTTATGAGATCGATCCCTGTTCAAACTCTTCATAATCATCTTTTTTTTCATGATCAAAGTAGATATAGTTTAGTTGTTTGGTTTTTTTTTTTTTTTTTTTTTTTTTTTTTTTCAAAAAAAGCCTGTCTTGAATGCGTTAAGTAAGCAATGGCTTGTTTAAATACACATTTTCTCAATGGTCTATGAATCTCTGCTTATTTTAAGACTTACTTTGAGACCTTGTGAATGGCACTGCGTGAATGTAAATACGTACTCAATGTCTGATTACATTTACCACCTTTAATATAATTGTCAATGCATCTGCACACTTACATAAGTATACTTGTACATTTTATCGACATATTTTCATAAAAACAAAATGTATAAATAACACTAATCTATCATACGATTCACGCATACTAAATTAGATTCAGATGGTTCAAATTCTAAAGAATTAATTTCTTTTTTCCGTTGAAGTACCCTTTTTTAATTCAGATCTTTTAAAAGCAGAAATATGACAAGCATCAGGATTTATTTTTTATCAATAAAAATATCTAGGTCAATTTTTTATGTGAAAAATAAAAATTCTAGAAATCAGAAATTCATGAAAGCAATAACCAAAGTAAATAAATGAAATAATGAAAAAAATAAATTAGATTTTTTTCAATATTAGAACTTGAAATGGTTTCTGATACCAAAAATTAGGGCCGTGAATCTCTTACTCATGCATTTATTTTTTTCTGCTAAATAACCTTGGGGGAGTGAAGTTGGATTTTGAAGAATAAATCATTTCTTTTCTCTGTATGATCAATAAAGCCAATCCTTACAGAAACCCTGTCTATGGTACGCCAAATTCACAAAAATGAGCTAAACCTAGTTTTACAATTGATAAACTAGGTTTATCAATTGTAAACTATAGTTTACAAACCGTAAACTATAGTTAACGATTCGTTAAGTATAATTTCCATCTGTAAAACTATATTTAATGGTGTATAGTTTACGAATGCTAATCTAAATCTATCTGTCTGTAATAAAATGTTAACTATAGATTTTATTGATAAACATAGATTCTCGTCGGCAAAACTATAATTTAAGATTGTTAACTATAGTTAAGAGTTGTAAACCATAGTTTACAAATCGAAAAACTGTTTTTATCAAATAATCTCTGTTTTGCGATCGCAAATGATAGTTTTCGGTGTTAAGTATAGTTTACGGTTGTAAAACACAAATTATCGCATTGACTATGGTTTGCACATGTAAAATATAGATTAACGTTGTTAACTATAGTTTACAACCGATAGACCTAGTTTATCGACTGTGAAACTATCATTAGTTCATTTTTGTGAATTTGGAGTGCCATACCTGTCTCTCAGGCAATGAATTTCACAATTTTGAAAGAGGTGCCCTTGCTCATCATAACTGTGTACTTTCATTTTCATCCATGAGATAAAAAGATTTTCAAAGAAATACCGGAAAAACAATTCACTTCCAAATTTAACGCGTCCTGACCTTACACCTGAAGCAATTTTATTTTGGATAATTTTTTTTATCCCATCCCTTTTTTCTCTTGTGAAAATCATTTTTTTTCTTCAAAAGTATGTTGGTATGTTGTTAGCCCAGAACAGGCAATTTCTAGCAAACTTGACCCATTATAATTCATGAATTATTAGTGGGGTAAATGATACTATGTTTATCCTGTGTGTATGTTTATACTTGTATGTACATGCATTTCATTTGTAAATTTTCGTTTCATAAAATGCCTATGAGACAGTGCACTCGTGTAGTGTTTTAGCAAATCAGTCATGGGCATGCAGTGCAATAAAATTAATGAGATTAAATTCCTCTTCAAAATCAAACAAAGCACTAAAAATTAAACCTAGCGTAAATTTGTAAAATTCAAATAGTTTACATTTTGACAAATTTCAATCAATCCTTGTGAAGGTGGTTATTTAGTGTTTTGCAGGTTTTGTGAATTCATTGCAAAGTCCTCTTTGTACAATTCTTAATGATATTTATATCCATCACAAAATGATCTTGAAAATCATCCTCAAAATAAAATCTCTTATCAGTTTCTTAAGGTGATCGTCACTTCACCTAAGGTGGATAACTCTTGCAAAACTTATCAACAGTTATTGAAATATAAATGAAAATCGTAATAATTCTATACATCCATGTACATATCAGGAAACAAGGAACCATAAATGACACTTTGAATTCTTTGCAACAATAAAAAGAAATCGCTAAAAATCCTAAATCCGGGACCGTCGGGAGTCGGGAAAACTAGATTTTACCGCTTGCCCTTAAATTCGCCACTGGTGTTTGAACTTCTCTCGGTCTTGCATTTGACAATTTCTCAGAGACGAATTCGATCGCCAATAGTACTGTACTGTAGTAATTCCAGAACAATTGTTCAACACTCACGCCTAAAATATTATCAGCATCTATTCTCTCTTCTACAAACCTATCGATCTCCTGCGGACCCATCATCATCATTAGTTCCTCGAGGATGCTTTTCAATGTGATTGCGTTTACACAATTTTGCGCCAAGTTATTTTCCCCCTTAAACTTGTTTACTAGTTAACGGTATCCAGATACAAGTTATACCTATTTAAAATTTGTCTTCATATAATGTTGAAGTATCATCATATAATGACAAAGTACCAGCATATAATGACAAAATAGTAGCATATAATGACAAAGTAATGGCATATAATGACAAAGTAGTAGCATATAATGTCAGAGTACCATCATATAATGACAAAGTACCATCATATAATAACAAAATACCATTATATAATGACAAAATACCGTCATATAATGACAAAGTACCAGCATATAAAGACAAAGTACCATCATATAATAACAAAATACCGTCATATAATGACAAAATAACGTCATATAATGACAGAGTACCATCATATAATGACAAAATACCATCATATAATAACAAAATACCATTATATAATGACAAAATACCATCATATTATGACAAAGTACCAGCATATAATGACAAAGTACCATGATCATATATGACAAAATATTTAGTACATGTACCATCAGATGGTAATGACAAAGTACCATCATCAAACATATCAATATTACAGTGATTAACACAAAAAGGAAGGTCATTATATACAATGAAAATAGCAGTGGACCTAAAACAGAACCCTGGGGCACCCCTTCTGTGATAGGTAAGATATCAGAAGAACATGCACCAATTTTAACACTTTGGCTTCTTTCATTTAAATAAGACTGAAACCATTTAATTGTAAGTGAATCAAAGTTATAGTGCCTCAATTTCTCAATACGCCAGTTTCGAGATTGTAACTCTCCTACGATAGAGGCGCAAAAAGTACCCATTTCAGCATGGAGGTTTGACAGGTTGTCTCTGTATACAAAAGTGCATAAATAAAAGAACGATATTTATGGCTTTTAAAATTAATTAAATGTTATAGAAAGATAATAATGTTATGCAGTGATGCATTTGATGATTTTATCAAGCTCAACTATGCAATTTACAATTCTACTATAAATTTTCGGGTACTTGAAAACGAAAAAACGTCAAAGTCTTTAAAAAAAGTAACAGATTTTTTTCATTGTACGAACATTTTCTAAAAAGTAAGTGTTTTTTTAAAGTTAAAATTGGGGAAAAAGAATCAATATGTAATTTAGATTCCCGACGTGCAATGACCAGATGCATGTGTATCGTATTTATAAGAGGTCCATATCTCTTCCTTCGTCAGAAAAGTCTCATATATATGATAATATCTTTTTTGTTTTGATATTTTTGATTTAAAAATGATGCCTTTACTTGAATTCGGTTATTCTCAAGCTGCAGAGTGCATCCTGACAATCGTGTAGTTATGATTAACCGGTATATCGATGATGCAATGTATCCAACATACACAATATCAAATATCTGTCCCACCTGTTTGTTTACGCGGCAACGAAACTCCCCTCCTCAACGAAAGAGCGCACCAAGGGAGATAATCTCGAAACTTGCGTATTAAGAGATCATGACTGACTAAATCGAATGCTTTACTGAAATCTAGAAATGCTATGCCAGTGAGATTCCCTTGGTCCATTGCATGCAACCAGCTGTCAGTAAGTTTGGTTAGTGCCGTTTGGCAAGAATGGAATTCCCTGATACCACTCTGTGAGCTTGTGATGAGGTCAAAAGCTGTGGTGAATTCACGTAATTGATTAGCAACATGTTTTTCAAAAATTTTTGATAAAGTCGGTAGGATAGATATTGGTCTGTAGTTACTTGGATCATTTTTATCGCCCTTTTTATATATTTTTATATATATTTATATATATGTGACTTTAGCTTGTTTCAGATGCAAAGGAAAGATGCCATTAGTAATGCTAGTATTAATTAGATGAGTTATAGGCTTGGAAATTATATCGGCAGAAAGTCTTAAGAGGCGGGGACCAATGAAATCTATACCTGCCGATTTATTAATGTCAAGTGTGCATAGCATCGAGAAGACCTCGTCTTGTATTATAGGAAGTAAGCAATAAATACATTTTCATCACTAAGTTTTGACTTGGTGAAATCTTTTAACTTTTCTGGTTTAAAGTTACGTTTTGGTAATTCAGTTAATAAACTGCTAGAAATTTTTGTAAAGTGTTCGTTAAAAACATTGACAATACCTTATGTATTGTAAAATTCTGATCCGTTGTCCTTAATATGAGTAGGAAAAAAACATTTCGGTTTTGAGGCTAAATGGTTGAGAAAGCTCCACAGTTCTTTAGGATTAGAGCTCTCCTCAATTGCTGATTTATAATAAGTACATTTAGCATTATTAATCAAAAGCGTAACTTTATTCCTCCAATGTCGAAAATTTTCAAAGTCTTTGTGTTGATGATAGTAATCTCGTAATTGTCTAGCATCATTAATTTCTTGTGTTAACCATTTTGGACGAGACTCAGTTTTCACACGTTTAGTCTTTACCTTAGCGTGTCTATTTAGAATAGTATTAAACATATTGTAAAAGTTCGCTAAGATATCATTAGGATTGTGCAAATTCGTAAGAGCATCAAAATTGACACTTTTTAAATCGGAAAGAAATTTTTCTTCATTAAAGTTCTTAAAGGCACGGTATTGAATTTCAGTCTGTTTTCCCTTATGCTGCATATGCTGTTAGATTTGCGTGTTGCACAAACAGGGTAATGGTCAGTCATAGCTATGGGTGGTACTTGGATTTCACAGATGAGGTCAGGTTGTGTACTGTAGAAATGATCAATTAGGGTAGATGAGGTGTTAGTAATTCTAGTAGGTGTGGTAATTAATTGATTTAGTCCAAATTCTTCTGGTGCAGATGTCCAGGATAGAGGGGGGTCTTTTAGCAGATCAACATTGAAGTCACGTGTAAGTATGATTTCTTGGTCATCACAGCAGGAGGCACGGTTTATCTCCCTAGCTAGGTCCTCCAGTGAGACCTCCACCCAGCAGGTGGGTGCAGATGGTGGGCGATATGCAGAACAATAAAGGATAAGCTTTGTGTTTTTTAAATTGATTTCTAACCATATTGTCTCTATGTTATTAATTTCTAAATCCTTTCGACGTTTATCATGTTTATAGGTTAGATTATATGAGACATAAATAACTATTCCACCACCTGCCTTATTTTGTCGATCTTTTCTTTCAAGTACATAACCATCTATATATTCAAAACTGCATCACAAATTTGATCATTTAAAAAAGATTCACAAAGCCCTAACACGTCCATAGATCGTTCATTTTGTAAAATTAATTTCAGTTCGTCTAATTTTGGTAGAAGATGACATACATTAAAATTTCCAAAACGCAAACCTTTTTTAACTAGAACAAAACCAGAATTTACCGGGGTACATTTATTAGATATGTTTATTGCTTTGGCTGAATTTAGACTTTCAGGGCTAGAGCTTCTATTTATCTTCTGTTTAGAACGAGATTTTTGCTTAGTTTTGAGATAATGTATATTTTTGGCAGATGAACATGATGAATATTCTGAGAATTTTTAAAGATACATTTACATGAATTTTTGTTACATTCTGAACATAAAGTTTCGAGAGGACGAAAGTTATTTTGCAGACTTAATGAAATACTCTCTGTATATTCGGCCAGACATTCATTGCCCCTAATCTAGTACGGACAGAACTTTTGTTTGTGGCCAGGTTCCCCACACTGCGAACAATCTACTTTGCTCCCATGTCTACAATTCGGGATGAATGGCCTTGTTCTCCACAGAAGTAGCAGCATGTACATTTCATCGTCGGATAAATGGATACCGTCCTTCCAGTATAAATGGGCTTTGAAAATTTGACTTGATTTGATCACTGTCGCACCATATTCTTCACACACAAAACGGATAGCTTCATTCACATCAATGATCAATGCATCTTTTCGAGGCATGACTTCACAAATGAAAACATTAATATTTGAGTTCCTCTTCTTTAGATTCATTATCATTTCGGAAAAATCATTTTCTACTGCTTCCATATTGCGTTTATTTGAAGCATCATTTCCTCCAGCCTGAATTATGACATTTTCTAGCGAAGACACATCGTATTCCTGTAGTTTCTTACGAATATAAGAAATACTGACTCCTCTGTTTGTACTCACACTAACATTTAAACGTAACCCACGGGTTTTAATTCGTTGCAGAATTGAACTGCCGATCAGGAGTGTAGTTTTCTGCTGGTTGCTAGATGTGGAATTACGTGTTTCTGGAAGAAACTGTTTCCTAGTTTCTGGTGCACAGGTTGTTGTGGTTCTGTGTTTGTAGAGTATTCTTTCATAGATACTTCTGTTATAACTGCAATGCACTGTACATGTCTAGAAGTGACATTGTTAGATGCCTTTGGCAGATCATTTGTACAATTGCCTTTATATTTGAGGACTGTACAGGTTGTCTGAGTACTTGAGCTGGTAAGACATTTATTTGCATTTTCACTCAGTTCCTTTTTTAACGACTCGATTTCCTGCGTTAAGCGATGAACAATTGATGAAAGTTCCTCTACACGTAAAGCAGAATCACAGCACCTGCTGCATTCGATAGGTTCCTCCTTGGTGTAGATGCCATTTGTGGCGGTGGTTGGGAAATAATGATATTTGTTTCATTTATGTCACATGCGTAAACACTTATTTCCTCAATGAATTTCTCGACCATGATGATGCTGAACTCCCCTGAATATGGAGTACCGAGGTGCTTCTGTAAATTGTAGCTGTAACAGATCTACAACTAGTCTTAAAACATGGCCATCCTCTTTAGAAGTTTTCTCACATAACAATTCCTGTTGAAAATATGAAAAAATAATTTCATATTTTTCTTGGTCAAAGTTCACAGTAAAGCTCCTCTTATTGGTGGTAACTTTCAGAAAGCCTGGTATGTCCACATTTATATGCAGGTCATCATGATTGTCACTTAATGGATTTGTGAATCCAGTAAAAGAATCCAGAAATGATCTAAAAAGGCTGGAACTTGAGCTCACATCCATCATTTGATCCACTACACAGTGATTATTGAAAACAGGACTTAATTTGTAATCCAATCAAGTATAATTACACTTTAGCTAAGCAGGTAGCTCAGGTAAAAAATAATAACAAAGTACTGTCATATAATGACAAAATACCATCATATATAATGACAAAGTACCAGCATACAATGACAAAGTACCGGCATATAACGAAAAATCTCCGTATATAGCAGTTACGGCGTTCCACAGTATGCATTATCTCTGAATGAATTTAAAAAGATTAAAAACCTGTAGTTATCTATTGCTAAGTCATTCTAACAGGCAAGCAGCACAAAAACAAACATGGCTGCCAGTGAAACAAAAAAATATCCACTGGGATCTCCTCTGGTGCACATTAAAACATGTGAATTCCATGAATTGCCTATTGATATTGTATGTGAGGACTGTGATGAATTGATTTGCAGCAATTGTGCCAAAACAGATCATAGAGATCATGATTGGAAAACTCTTACCACGGCAGCCATTGAAAGGAGGAGGGGTCTGCGGGAATTTCTGAAGAAGATCAAGGAAGAGGATCTGCCTGAAATTAATAAGAAGATGGAGAAGATTCCACAGCAGATCACAGAAAATAAAGAACTGTGTGATTTTGAGACTAAAAGACTACAGACGCACTTTGATAAGATAATTGCAGAGCTTACAAAATTCAAAAAACTTCAGGAAAAAATACTAAGGGACGATTTGATAAAAACGACTGACCAACTCAACCTGATTAAGTCTGAGTTAGAGAAGAAGAAGAGGGTGATCGTTAACACAGTGGAATTTATGGAGGAGAACAACAGCACCATGTCAGATTACGGCTTGATTGACAACCAAAGAGATCTGACAAAAATGCCGTCTGAATTGGAGATTGATATGACAAACTGTGAATATTCGGTAAGGTTTATTAGAGGGGAAATCAATGATAACTTACTTAAATTTTTGTTCGGAAAGACATTGGATTTAAGTGCTATTGATGTGGCTCAAATAAAGTCATTTCAATATGGAGATAAAGAAATACTTTACTTGGAGGCAATAAGTGAAGATCAATGTTACATAAAAGAACGTGGATCACAATGCATAGAAAAGGTTAACCAACAAGGCACAAAAGTACATAGAATTAGTATCACTGCTAATAACATGTGTGTGACTGATAATGGTGATGTTTATTTCACTAACTTCAGTAACCATTCCATCAGCTGTCTCTCACCATCAGGAACTGTCTCTACAGTCACCAGTACAGATTCACTGCAACCAGAAGGAATCTGTCAGTCAGTGGACTTTGGACTACTGGTCACCTTGAGAGATTTTCAATTAAATCCTTACAAATTAGAGTCACACAGCAGACGTCTGGTGAGACACATCACAGTGTCAGGTGACGTCATCCATGAGTATGAGTACCAGGAGGACGGTCAGACCAGATTGTTTACACATCCACTCAGGGTCACACAGAACAGTAATAGTGATCTCTGTGTTGTGAACAGTATAAGTTTAACTACCGGTGAAGTAGTGATTCTGTCTCCCTCTGGTCGTATGAAATCTGTATACCGTGGACAGAACCTGACAAAGAAATTTGATCCAACTGATATAGTGTGTGACTCCCTCTGTAACATCCTTGTTACTGATTATAACAACAAACAGATCCATCTACTGAGTCCTGATGGGGAGTTCCTGAAGTTCTTACTGACGGACAATGAAGTGATCCGTCCAGTCAGATTTTCACTACACAAGTCTACACTGTGGGTGGGATGCAGGGAAGGGGTTGTCAAAGTGTTTCAGTACAGACTCTGAATAGAATATGCTTGGACTGTATGAGCTTACAAACGACCATGCAAACTTGGGCTTCATTTTTTCGCATTTTTCATATGTAAAGCGTCTTTATCTAAAATCCTGAAGTGATGTCATCATCAAGTTATCCAGCCAGGTTCAAATAATTAATATTATATCTTAAATTTCTCAGAAGACTGACTAAGTCAAGCACTTTTAAAAAAAAAAAGTGTTTTAATATGGTCGATGTTAACGCCTTTAGAATTTTTTTTTCAATGAGCGTTAACTTGGTCAAAGTGCGTAATTCATCAAAGTGCAATGTAACCGATGACATTGGCCCAATGTTAGCATGCTATACAAGATATTTTATTTACCAATAAAGGGCCCCGAGGGGCATTTCAACATACACAAATGTACAATTTAAACATCCTTTTCTTTTTTTAACATAATAATTTTTTTATAGTTATATAAATGATCAAGTTACATAATATTATTGTTCTCAGTGTCAATGATCATACATAATACAAGTGTCCAGAAGAATGTCAATGATCACAACACAATACAAAAATGTGATGCTATACATGTATAAATTTAAATGGCTTAGCATGCATAAACATGATGATACAATCTAGGTAATTATACATTGGTTCTTTTACCATTTTCAGATATAAATTTTCCAAGTAAGCATAGAATTTCTTTATTTTCATTATTTAATATCCATATAAGTTTTTCAGCATGTGTCAAAGAAGAGAAGTTTGGGTTGATTTTTGATATTGTTTCCATTAATTGCAACCTTTCATTGCTGTATTTTGGACAAATGAGCAAAAAATGTTGTTCATCTTCAACTTCCTGTATATTACATTGAGAACACTTTCTAGATTCATGGGGTGAAGTACTAGCTAGTATCTTCCCCTTTCAATATTTAATTGATGTGCAGAAATGCGAAGTTTAGTGATATTTTTCCTCTGATCATAGTTATTAACAATTTGAAGATAGTGTTCTCTTCCAAAATTGGTTTTGAAGCTGGAATAAGTTCTTGGTTTACCATCATTTTGCTGCCCATTTTCTCTATACCATTGGTTTATAAAATATTGTCTTAGAATACATGATGACTTCTTTTTTTAAATGAACAAGTACTATATTTTGATAAGACAATAGTTTTGAAAGCAGTTAAATGACCCAAAATTGTCTCAATGGATGCAAACCATGATGGTTTATTTTCTAAAAAGAGGCTTTTTGAGACGGAGTATGCTTCTTTGAGTAGGACAAACTATGGATGTAATATTTCTAGTCGAAACCAGTAACTTAACATAGCTTTAATAATAGAATGATACAGTGGAAATCTACCTAGCTCAGATAGAACTGCAAAGTTTGTTGACTTTCTATGCACTTCAAGTATAGCCTTGCAATATTTAATGTGCATTGTTTCACATTTTAATTTGTTAAATATTTTGTCCATTGTAATATCTTTGTTTTGAAATTTAGAAGAAAAGGGGTTGAAAGCCCCCCAAATTTCACATCCATACAGAAGAATAGGAGCAATGGTATGATCAAATAAATGAAGGTTAATATTGACATTATGACAACTGGACATAATTTCTCTCTGTAATTTTGAACATGCTTTCAAGACCTTCTTATATAATTCATTTTGAGCAAAGGTAAAAGAACCTGAGTTACAAAAGTAAATACCAAGATATTTGTATTGTTGAACACATTCAATCAACTTATTTTGAAAAGAAAACTGTTCTGATATTTTTTTTCCAGCTCTGTTAAAAATCATAATTTTTGTCTTGGATAAGTTAACATTTAGACACCAATCATTACAATATTTGTCAAATACATCAAGTTTTGATTGTAAGATTCGAAGTGCTTGATAGCAAGATTAAATCATCAGCATACATTAAACAGTGTATTATGTGATCATTAAGAGTAACAGAATCTAAAGAGTTATCCATGTATTTCGGCAAATCATTTATAAATATTTTAAACAGATTTGGGCTCAAGTTATCACCTTGCTTAACACCTTGTTGGATTGGAAAAAATCAGTAATTCGATTATGGATTTTTATACATGGAATACTTCTTTGATACATTTCTTTGACAATATTGTAAAACTTCTGTCCAACTTCTATCTGAAGAAGTTTAATTTTTATCCCAGTATGTATAACAGTATCAAAAGCCTTATGAAAATCTACAAAACTATATATATGGGAAAACACTTGCTGTGGCCTTCAACTCGACTTTTAGATATATCGACGACGTAGTGTCAATAAACAATGGTAATTTCCATTCCTACGTCGATACGATATATCCTAATGAGTTGAGATAAAAGATACCACAGTATACATTTTATTTGGCTGCATTTTATTTCCGGAGTTTTTGGTAATTATCAACTTTTCATTTCCGACATTTTTCAAATACACATGTAGTACCTATAGTAATAGATTTGATATCTTTACTTATGAACGATTTAAAGGAATAAATCATTGTAATCCATTTTTTTTAAATCTATCAGTAACTTGGACATAAGTATGGTGCTGTCACTGACATTTAATTTAGTGTTCATTAAATGTGGTGAAAAAGTTTTATGCTCATTGAACTCTTTTAACTAACCTTAGTGCTACATGTATCCATATATGTATAGATGTTTGTTTTTTTTTTTAAATTACTAATATTTTTAGTGTAAATACTTTTGAAATTCCATTTTCTTTTACTTTGAAAACATTGAATTGCCGCACAGGTAAATTCCGGAAATGAAAAAAAAAAAATTATGTCGGAAATGAAAACAAAAGATGTCGGAAATGCTATGCATATTTCCGGAAATGAATTTCAGCGTTTTATTTATATATTTCCATATAAACAAAACGTGCCATGTTTTGTTAACATAGATTAAATATGCTAATATATGTTCGATCAAAGCATTTCTTTTTAAATATGATTAGACAGTTTCTAGTGATTTGCTGAATCTTGTTTTTATAAATATGATTTTTTTTATATGTAAACATGCAAAAACAAGGCACAAGTCTTGTCTACATTATGAAGAATTTTAAGTTCTGTATCTCTTTTAATTGTAAATCAACAAATGATGTTCAAATTTTTGCTGATCATTAGCATTGCCTTAGGTAGGAATTGTAAACAATAAAACTGGTTTAAAAAAAATCAGGCGAAAGTGTTCCCATGTCCCTTTAAGACTCATTTTGAAACAAGAGACCTTGTGAATGGCTCTGCATGTATGTAAATACGTACGTCGATGTCTGATAAGAGTTTACTACTAATTTTTTAATGAACGCACACATAAGACTGAGTATACATATACATTTTATTTATATATTTCCATAAAAACAAAATGTAATTAAAACTTATCTATCACAAAATTTACGCAGAATAAATTGAATATCAAATTAATGGTACAAATTCTAAAACATTTCTTTTTTCGTTGAAGTACCCTTTTCTATTTCAGATTTTTTAAAATCAGAAAATATGACAAGCATCAGGAATTCATTTTTTATTAATAAAATATCTGGGTCAATTTCTTATGTGAAAAATAAAAATTCTAGCAATTAAAGATGCATGTATTTTTAAACTCATAAATAATTCACACTCTAACTGGACCCATGACCTCACATGCAGGCCATGAATTTCACAATTTTACTTGGATTTCAATGCCTATGCCAGCCTGCCAAAAGTTTCACTGCTTGATGGGTCAGAGTAAATTAAAGAGGAAGATTTTTAGAGATTGCATTTTGATAATTTTAGCCTCACCCTCAAGCCCCAGGGATTTAAAGACCATGAAACTCAATGTTTTGTTTATTCATCTTTACCCATAGATGCTACAAGATATAATTTTCTGAAATAAAAGAAAAAGTGAGCAAGCTCACATACCCCACGCTCCCCCAAAACTCTAAGTGCTGCAAATCCCAGAAAAAATGAAAGAATCGGAATTTCCCGGTAATATGCACATCTACACATTGTGTCCTAAATATCTGCAAAGTTTGATGAAATTCTGTGCTGCGGTTTATGAGGAGTTGCGCTGACAATCTGTTCATCACTATATTCAAGATATCCCCAAAAATCTAAGTTGTAAAGTGCCGAAATTCCCGGAAAAATAAAGGATTCGGAATTTCTTGGTAAAATGCACATCTATACATTGTGTCCTAAATATCTGCAAAGTCTGACGAAATTCTGTGCAGCGGTTTATGAGGAGTTGCACTGACAAAATCTTCATCTCTATATTCAAGGTATGGCCAAAAATCTAAGTTGAAAAGTGTGGAAATTCTAAGAAAAAATAAGGAATCGGAATTTCCTGGTAATATGCACATCTGCACACTGTGTCCTAAATATCTCCAAAGTTTGACGAAATTCTGTGCAGCGGTTTATGAGGAGTTGCGCTGACAAACTGTTCATCTCTATATTCAAGGTATGGCCAAATGCCTAAGTTAAAAAGTGCGGAAATTCCCGGAAAAAATAATGGAATCGGAATTTCCTGGTAATATGCACATCTACACACTGTGTCCTAAATACCTGCAAAGTTTGACGAAATTCTGTGCAGCGGTTTATGAGGAGTTGCGCTGACAAACTCTTCATCTCTATATAAAGGTATGGCCAAAAACCTAAGTTTTTAGTGCGGAAATTCTAAGAAAAAATAAAGAATCGGAATTTCCTGGTAATATGCACATCTGCACATTGTATCCTAAATATCTGCAAAGTTTGACAAAATTCTGTGCAGCGGTTTATGAGGAGTTGCGCTGACAAACTGTTCATCTCTATATTCAAGATATGGTCAAATGCCTAAGTTAAAAAGGGCGGAAATTCCCGGAAAAAATAATGGAATTGGAATTTCCTGGTAATATGCACATCTACACATTGTGTCCTAAATACCTGCAAAGTTTGACGAAATTCTGTGTAGCGGTTTATGAGGAGTTGCGCTGACAAACTGTTCATCTCTATATTCAAGGTATGGCCAAATGCCTAAGCTAAAAAGTGCGGAAATTCCCGGAAAAAATAATGGAATCGGAATTTCCTGGTAATATGCACATCTACAAATTGTGTCCTAAATACCTGCAAAGTTTGACGAAATTCTGTGCAGCGGTTTATGAGGAGTTGCGCTGACAAAAAAAAAAGGACTGACTGACTGACTGACTGACACTCTGACGGACGGGTCAAAAACATTATACCTCACGCAACTAGTTGCGTGGGGTATAATTAGTTCAGCATTTTTAGAGAGGCCTAAAGTTCAAATGTTAACATACAACCACTGGCATTAAATTAGCCAAACACTGGTTAGGACCTTTATAATAAAGAGCTCACATCAATATCTTTGTTGCGTAAGCAGTCCAAGAAGAAACAACCACTACAATTTCTCATCTCTGAATTTTTAATAAAAATCATAGTATATCAAATAACATGCACAAGTGAAATTGCAACAAAATGACCAGATATGATAAAATGTGTAATCATGGCAACTGCAGACTTTAATTTATTGTACAACATTCTGAACTCAATATTTATACAAATTTGTAAACACACAATTCCTATGTACTGTATTCTCATCGCATTGCTGATATAACAAAATTATTGAATAAAAGATTTCCACCTTGTAATTAGGATTTACCTTTCAAAATATTTCTAGGAGTAGATTTATTGATTTTGACTTCCTCCATTTCTGCACTAGATTTAAATATTTCAGCATATGATATTTATAATATGGATGCAAATTTTATTTTGAATAATATTTTTATCTCTTCCCTTTTTTCTCTTGTGAAAATCATTTTCTTCAAAAGTGTGCTGGTAGTCAACCCAGAACAGGCAATTTCTAGCAAACTTGATCCATATATATCATGAATTATAAATGGTGTAAATGATACTATGCTTATTCTGTATGTATGTTTCTATGTAATGTTTATCATTTGAAAATTTTCATTTCATAAAATGCCTGTGAGACAGTGCACCTGTGTATATGTATAGTGTATTGAAAAATCAGTCATGGGGATGCAGTGCAATAAACGAGATTTAATTCCTCTTCAAAATCAAACAAAGCACCAAAAAATAAACCTAGCATAAATTTGTAAAATTAAAATAGTGTACATTGTGACAAATTTGTATCAATCAATCATTGTGAATGTGGTTATTTGGTGTTTTACGGGTTTTGTGAATTAATTGCAGGGTCCTCATTATACAATTTTTTATGATATTTATATCCATCACGAAATGATCTTAAAAATCATCCTCACATTAAACTCTCTTATCTGTTTTTTACGGTGATCATCACTTTACCTAAGGAGGATAACTCTTGCAAAACCTATCAACAGTTGTTGAAATATATATGAAAATCATGATAATTCTATACATACATGTACATATCAGGGAACAATGAACCGTAAATGACACTTTGAAGAATTTTAAATAATATAAATAGCTATAATGATGAACATACATCCCTCATTCCTATACTTTTCATATGTTCAAAGTTTCAGCACAATTTATAAGTACATTTGAAATTCAAGGTGTAACAATTCGTTCAGTAACATATATATCATAGGAATATCATTTTCACAGCAAATAAAATTTGCATTGTAAACATAACAAACTGTAATAATACATAGTAAAATATTTCTGAAACAATAAATTCTGTATTCTGTTATTAACAAGAACAAAAATGGTTTTTGTATCACATTGGGTACCCAGTTTATCGGTTTCTCTCTTTCAAACAAAGTCATGTACCTGAATTTTATTAGGGAAAAAATGAGTATAATGTATATCAAAAGTAACAATTATTGTGTACAAATAGAAGCTTTATGTTAGTTGTAAGCATGTTAGAAGCAGAAAAAAATCAAATTTTTTGTTCAAATTCAATTAAGATCATAATAATTAAGCTTATACTGGAGGCAAAAAATTAATGAACGTTGACAGCATATATTCATATAAATCATGAATCAGATTCATAAAATGACATATATCAAAACTGAGTGATGAATAATAATGGCAGTTCTCCAAAAGCAGGTATTCATTTTCAATAAAGCACTCTAATTACCAAGTCATTCAATCTCGAGGAATTTATATGAAACTTGGTGAACAGTCTCATGTATGGAGTTGGGTTGATAACAGTACACTGATATGGAAGTGTTTTCAGCTTCCAACTTTTGCTATCAGTTCATCACATATTGAGGTCAATTCTTCATTTTCTTTTACCTGACAGGCAAAAAATATGATTAGTAAGAAAACAGAAAACTGAAAAGTCAAAAAGATGTGAATGTAATTGAAAAACTCCCATAAATTTTTTTCACCCACCCCTGAGAGTTTCGATCTTTTAGATCCACCACTGAGAGAACAAACATTTAGATCCACTTCTGAGAGTAACAAATTTTTACATCCACCCCTGAGAGTAACCATCCTTTAGATCCATCCCCTGTAACTAACATTTAGATCCACTCCCTGTAACTAACATTTAGATCCATCCCCTGTAACTCACATTAAGATCCATCCCCTGAGACTATTTACCTTTTGATCCAGTGACCTCTGTAGACTCTGGACTTGAAGTTCCGCTTTCTTCACCGCCGCCTCCAGACGAGCGATGTCTGATGCTGCCGCCTTACGAGTGCGCTCCATTTCATTGTTAGCACTACAATATATAGACAAAATCAAAAGATTTCTTAAACTGTGGACCAGCAGAGGCATTTTTCAGAATTATTCAAAATTTTCCAAAAAAATATTGCATAACACTTTATTCCTGTCAAAAATAAGATGAGAAAAAACATGACAGGTATGTTATTGAAGTAGTTTTCGTATATTATATCAATTCTTAATTCTTCTTTTAGGATTGCACATATTTAATGCTGCAGTCAGGTATTTCTTACCAATGACAAAATTTATGTACATCTATATTAGTACTAACTAAAGATTTAAATGCGCAATCAGAGAAAATTATTGCTGGATGGTCTGGACACAGGGCATATCAATCAGGTCGTGAGTATAAACACTTGTTAATATGCTGATTTTTATGATACTTTGGCCTTCTGTATGACACGTGGACAATACTCACCTGTCAATCTTGGTCTCTGCCTGCTGTACAAATTCCTGTAGTTTGTCCTCGGCGACCTTTAGTTTACTCTGGTAGTCCTGGATACACTTCTTTAATACTTCCTCATTCTACAATAGAGAATAGTTGATAAACATTCCACAACAGTCCACGTATGATGAACCCTCTTTCTCTTTCATAATTATTCAATCTCGGGTATAGACATTAACTTTCAGATTCACTTGTCCATAGGGCATATGAACTCAAATTTTGATTTGTCCAAAGGCAAAACTTGGTTGCCCAAATTTTGGAAAGAAGAAAATACTGGTATTTTAATTTAAAAGGTTAGGCTGAAATCAGCTTTTTGTATGCAACCAATGTCAAAAAGTAAAACTATTCTAACAGTTTTTTTTTTTGCTTTTTGTTAGTTTTTAAAGTGCTGACATTTATATAACACTATAGCGCACAACATAGTTACCTTTTTGAACCCCTCCACAACACCCTTTGTTTTCTCGTATCGTCTGTGCAAATCTGAAAATGAGGCTTCCACTCCTTGAAGATCTTCTAAGGCCTGCAAATATGTGCAGTATATAAATAACTAAAAATGTTCTCAGTTTAATGGATTGCCATTTTAAAAAATCTGAACCACCAAAAGGAAGCCCCCAATACTTTGAAGCAAATTTTATATTTCAAATATCTTCATACATGTACTAAGATTTCTTGATTGTGGAGTCTGGAGTATATATTTGACCAGGATTAAGATCTCAACATACAATATGCATAAAAATGATAATGAATTTTCTACTGTTTGTTGTTTTGTTTACCTGGTCTCTCTCCTTGACGACTTCTTCAAATGTCTGTTGGGATTCATTCACCGATCTCTCTTTTTCACCTATCAAAAGAAAATAAACAACATGTAAACTCTCAAAGATTCTGCTTTCTAAGATATAAATTCTATATCTAGTTATCATGGTTATCATATTCAAGTTAAGTGGGGGTATTTAATTGTTTAAAATCAACTTTTCACTACTCACTGTGTAACTGGGCAATAGTCTTCTCAAACTCGGCAACAACTGCCCTACAAAACAAAGACAGCAAAATGCATAACTACAAAAAAATTTATTTTAATGCTTACAATATTTCTATTTCCTGATCACTTTTAAATACCGATTAGGTTCCTCATCATTTGTTAATGTAAATACTTGTCAAACGTTCAGCTTTTTCATTCATGGACCTGACATTAATTTCCTTCAATACAACCCTATTCTGAGCTGATCTGATCATGCATGTAAATAAATGTACCACATTCAAAAACTACAATTTTCATTAATACCTTAATATAGGCACATCTTTCTACTACCATCTCATTCTAAATTGATCTCATCTATACTGTCCAATTAAGCTTGACCTCATCATCACTAAAATATTCCTCATTTGATAATGACCTAATAAACACTATCATTAACCACAATCATCACCCCTATCTAGACTCCCTCCCCCCCATCATTACCCCTTTCTAAATTGTCCTCTCAATCTTTACCCCTTTTTAGACTGACCTCATGTCCTCATTGGTTGCCTTGTACAGTTTGTTTTGTTCCTGTAGCTCTGTGATGACTTTGTCCCGAGCCCCCAGTTTCTGGCTCCATTCTCGCTCCTTGTTTAGGAGTCGGGCCTGAAAGTCCAGCTCTAACTCCTGCTTTATTTTGTTCACATCAGACTGTGAGTATTTTAGCACCTGTTGAGAATTAATTAAATAAATTTAAATTTAGATATTACATATTTTACATAAATAAAAAAATCTGAGGATTAATTTTTACACAATATCAAATTATGAAAATAATTTTTGATTTTGTTTTTCATGATACATTGTAATGGATATCTACTATTGATATTGGGGTATATGCATGCAATCAATATAATCAGGTACCCATGTTAATGAGTACCTGAATCTATACAAATTATACTGTATATGAATCCTGTAATATTTCCCCTCTTCCCTACTGTAAATAAACCTTAGGAATATACAAGAAAATATTGATCATTACAAATTTTAGTTCATTTATATAAATTATTTACACAAGGTATGGGGTTTGGGAGAAGGGTGAAAGAATCAGTTTCATCAAAACCAAGAAATGTTTTAATTATAGAATGAATTGTTTTTCACCAGTTTCAGAAAAACAAATCTTTACACATATTAGTTACTTTGTCACAGAGTTGGGTGGGTATAGATAAAATGACATGGGTGCTGTAACAAGGTGTTAGTCCATTAACCAATCACCATCCAGGTCAAAGTTCAACAAACAGGTGATCATATATTACATTGTGTGAGGACACACAAAATCTACTGTTCTCTGAATCTTAAAAGAAAGCTGTATTATCTATTTCCTGTACTATATATGCAGTGATAGAAACTCTTCAGATTTTTCTCTGTTTGAAAGCAGTTCTATATCCTTAACTTATGAAATGATTATTTCCTCACTGAAAGCAGGAAGTCACAGAAGCCGTGTCTGTTATAAATGGGTTTAACTGAACTGCAGAGTTCTAAAGATACTAAACAAGCAACAAACTCTCATAAAAATTTTTTTTTTTATTTGTCTTACTTCAAGTGAAATAGTTGTTTTTAAAATTACCTTATCCAGAGGTAGGTATATGTATTCATGAAATTTACATCAGTAAAAGAGTAGAAAAACCAGCACTGACTCTTTTAAAGCATCAGTCATGTTTCATCTTACACTAATTGGCTTAAGATGGATTCAGAGAACAGTAGACAAGGATACAGGTATTTTAGCACTACCTAGGTAAGCCACACACATCTACCTTATTATTGCTGCTCTGTTCCTAGAGTAATTACAGGTACAACACAGGTAAACACAGGTTAATAAGGTAATAATTATATCTAACATATACACATGTATTATATCTTACATCTACATGTAAGTATAAAGTACAACTAAAAGCATCAATACAACAGGTTTGCACTATCATAACATGACTTTGGATTATCTAGGTCTAACATTATTTTACAAATTAATTGATATTTACTAGAAAAAGCATATTGGATAGACACATAGGTTCTATTTCTATGGAAAAACTAAACTGAAATTCTACAATATATGTATAATGTCTACACTTGTCTTGAAGATCGTGATTAAGTTTCACAATAAGTGAAAAAATCAACATACTGTAACATACTGTTATAATAGTTAAAGTGTCTGTACAATGTATGACAATTTTGCTTTAAATTAGCTGTATATCATTGCAATTTTTGCAGTGTTATACACCCAATTAAGTTTGAATATCCCTCTGAGAAGAGAGATAACTCCAGAATAAATTAAATCCAAAATACCTGAAAATTCTTTTCCTCAGGTGTAGTCTAAATAGCCACCTACTTGAATAACTATTTAAGGTTGTAAACTGATTTTTCATTGTGTTGTACATTACATACTGACTGGATACAATATTACATTTGTTGTGATTTACATACCTGGACTAGATGTACAATATTGTTATCAACCGGAGATTTCGCCTCTGTCATTTCTTTACCATCCTGTCAAAACAAAACAATGTCTTCAAACAGACATTTTCTGTTATTTATAATTGTATTGTCTACAAAATGCAAATATTTTTCAAGCACACTTCCTTCTTTGGGAAATCAGATGAAAACTTATTTCTTGTTTCCAATTCAGAAATTTTCTGATTTTGACAAAACTCTCTTTAAAAAAAAAATAGAAAGAAAATCATTGTTAAGGGATAAATCTTAAAAATTTATGTATGAGCCAATTTTCATGCTTTTAAAGTTTGGATGGGACCAGAAAATTATAGTATTTAGATGCACTGTTACACCAATTCTAATCTACCAACTACTAATGCTGCAACTATAGACAAGACTAAAATAACACACATATGTTAAAAAACTAAATTTCCAACATTCTGTGCACTCACAGTAAACCAATGCATACACATGCTCAAATAATACATGTAAAAGCTTAATAATGTGTACTTCATTAATACTGACAGTGATACCTGTGAAAATTTCACCAATATATATAGTAACACACTAATAAGAATGAACTTCTGTATGGTACTCAGTTTAAAACAGTACTAATGCTTGGTGTTCCCTGAAAGTTACATATGCATGTTATAATAGATATATACTGATATAAGGATATGTGACGTATATAATATGATGTTCTATGTCTAATGTACAAATCATGAAACCTACAAATGGTTATGTACAAAAGACAACATACAATGGTTTTTCTGCTTAACACTGAAAGCAAGTGAAACTTAACAGAGTACCAAATGGAATATGAAATCTTAGCAGAATTTGTTCATTTGAGACAGCATCAATGCTCGCAGATCAATGTGACTTATCCTTGCCCTGTTGTTCTTTAGAACAATATGTAAAGATTATTTTCAATATTATCCTTATTAAAACTGTGTAGCCATATTGTTGCTTCATCACACCCCAAAGGGCCATGATTTGAACAATTTCATTTCATTCTACATTATTCCCGTAGCTTACACATAGGCTTCTTCTTTTCTGGCCTAGTGGTTCCTGATAAAATAAATTTTTGAAACCATGCCCTTTATTTGCCTTTTCTTGATTATTTCCCATTTGAATGAATGGGTGACCTTCATCTGAACAAACGTAAGATTATCCCCTTCAGCAAAGGATACTTCCCCATACTCTATGCAAAGTTTGCTTGACATTAGCTCATTGGTTCTAAAGAAGAAAAATGTGAAACATTTACAAAGACAACAAAAGGCAATAGAAAAATTTTGATCAGTAAAAAGCACTTGAGCATTTAGCTCAGGTGAGCTAAAATGCTGGAATAAGAGCAGATCTTTACTTAAAGCCGACATGCACAGCTGTACTTCAACAAGTTTATTATTCATAGTCAAAGTATGACACAGCATCATGACTGTTGAGTTTTAAACTTTTCACTTGCTCTGTTTAAGCAACTGAAGCTTAAGTCTGCCATTGCTTAGGCCTTTTTAAGATAAAAACATGCTGAAAATATTTTATTTGAAATGAAAAAAAAATCATGCAAAAGTCTCAGCATAAATGAGTCCTTAAATTCACCTTACGTTTGAAGAAAAAAAATATTGAAAACATCCAGTACACAAGACAAAATGCAACTCCATTATGCAACACAATGTCAGCAGATTAGTTAGAAAAAGGCTGGTTATGGAACAGAAAAAGAAGGGGTAATATATTTATTATCACAGATTCTGAAGTCTGTAATTGTTTGTGGAGAATACCTTCTTAGGTGGATATTCGTAAGCGTCGTAGTATTTCAATTCGTCAGTTTCATCACTGTTGTTCTGAACAGGATAAAAAATGTCAAAAAATCACTGGTCAAGCTTGTAACACTCAAAACATATGTGTTAGGTTAACTTTATGATTTATTTTCCATTGTAAAAAATACATGATTTTACAAATTCATTGCAATGAGTCCCTCAACTCTTGCACACAAAGCAGCAATCTGTATGAAGTTAGAACACACTGTTTTGTCTGAATCAATTAAGTTCCGATTTTTTCTTAAGAAAATATTGAATTTTTTTTTTTAATTCTGAAAAATCCATTCTAGTCAGATTTATTGTACAAGATTCTACCAGATTTTTTAATTTTAATTTTTTGTTGTTGATGTTAAACTGTATAGAATAAATTTTGGTTGACAAGAATCACTGGAAAAATGTATGAAAATAGCAATTCTGTTGAATATAAAATCAATTATTTGGCAATAAAACTTAATTAAAAAATCAAAACATTCTATTCATTAACCTCTACCATGTTCTTAACGAATATTTGCCTCTAAATCAAATATTTATTTTTTAATTAGTAAAATGATGTGTAAGAGAAAGGGATGGGTAGGGAAGATATAAACCAGGATAGATGAAAATCATTCTGAGGTTTACAACAATTAAATGTTTATATGGCACATTATGATTTACAACATCATCTAAAGAATACTTCCTGTTACAGATACCATAATCTCAATCCATAATAATCAAATCATACACACACCCCATTCAGTACCATTAACTTCTCTACTCTCAGTCTAACATGAACTTTACGTACAGAACACAACAGATGTTAATTTCAGATGTCAACACTGTTATTGTCAAGAATGGTCAATACACAACAAACATGCCTTTCACTATAACTTCTAACTTATGAACTGCTTATGTATTGAAGTGGAAAAGTTATTGTTTTATCAAGATGTATTCTGTGGATATTCTTTGAAAATGTATACAATCACAGCATCAATCCATTGTAAAACTTTTCAGAAAACCATTTAAAGAATTGTGATGTGTGAAATGTGAAAAACAGACCATTTCCTTTAAGACTGTTTCGGTGTGGTGCCTTAAAATTACCTTATTACTTCCCCTTACACCCCCATGCTCCTCCAGATTCTCCTCCAGTACCCGAGCCGCTGGGTGTTTGGGAACACGAGTCGATGCCTTAGGTGTGGTCATTAAAGGACTAGGGCTGCTGGAAAGACAAGAGTTTCAAGAGTCCATTGTGTACTGAATTTATTAAAGAGAAAGCTACCAATGGAAATATAGATTAGAATATCATTTAAATGTAATTTAATATTTTTTTAAATCAAATACATCTAGCAAATCTGAAAAGGTAGCTACATTTTTAAATTACATAATAATACTTTTATCCTAAAACACTGGCCAATTATCGAGAACACTCAAAACCATTTTACCAACACAAACCTATTAAACAATACCAAAACAGCAAAACACTTGATTAGCTTCTCATTTAGAAACTACAAAACAATGATTTTGACAATTGGTAGCCACTTTACATATTGTGTCTTCTTTCATTGCTCTGTTGTCTTTTGTGTGTAGTCAGTCTACGACCCAATACACACACACACTGCTTTTTGTCTGTGTCTAAATGACTGGTATTTACCATCAATGTTTACTGTATATCGAATTTCATTGAGTTTTTTAAAACAGATTTTTAAACTGATCTAACACTGATAAAGAGGTTCACATCTGTAAAAGACATACCGGGTACTTTAGATTGTCAGTTGCTTTAAGTGAAAAGTGAATCTGACAAGGATTTACAAAATGATTGTAAATTTTACACTCACAATTACATGTATACTACATGTACAGACAGTGTAGATTTGAATCAAACTAAACGTATGTATATGAAAACTTAACGAGGCCCGATCTAGTTGAACTGCGCATACGTTTTAACGCAGTCGACTCAGGCACGTCACAGTACCCTTGACTGCCGTCACAATTGAATACAATAACGTCACAATTAAAATGACGTCAAATTGCGCTAAAATGTTTCGCTGATCCTGCATACCTGGTAACTCTATAGACTGTACATGTTGAAAGCTGGTATTTCTATTATTTACATGCTTTTTTTAAAAATATTTTTTTTTAATTGTTAAACAACTTTGGGACATGATTTATTTTGAGGTCTCAATTTCTTGGTACATATTCATTAATTTTACCTTGTTTTATTTCAATTTGTGAGTTAAAGAAAAAAAACACTGCAACCGAAAGTAAACGATTTTAGTCTTTCTCCTTGAACATGTTGAAGTCTTTATACACACCTTTTTCATTGAGGACTTAAATATGCATGAATTGGCTTGATTTAAAAAAATCAGTTTTTTGAATCATTTAAATGCAACCTCCGATATATTTCATTTTTCTATATATTACATGATATTTAGTAAAATTCGTCATTTTTCGCCTTTTACCCCCCCCTTCCCCCTTTTCCATGTATAACAACGTCGCGTATAAAGAAAAAAAAAGAAAGCATGAAGAGAGAATTATTTCAAAATGTAAGAATTATTTATTTTTTTTAGAAACTAATACAGTATTGCAATCGTTTGTTGATGTTATGTACACCCATGGCGACTTATTTCATGTCTAGTTGGATAAAATAAGTGCTAATTTTTTGTTTCGATGTGCCCCCTTTTCACTGCAATAAAGGCTACCTTCAATTTTCTTTTCATTTTTTATTAGAAGAATATAAATTGCATGATATATGTGAAAAACAAAAATATTCATCATGTATTTTTTTTTTAATTTTCAATTTCTTTGTTTTTTGGAGAGTTTTACTATGTAATTGTGTATAAAAACACAAAAAATGGTCCATATCTTGACAGTGCCCCCATTTGACTACAATAAAGGCAAGGTAATAAAATTTCATTCTAATTTTTCTTTGCATAATACATACAAAAATATTTCCAAATATTAAATTTTTTTATCATTCCGTTTTCGTAATTTTCAACTAGATCGGGCCTCGTTAAGAACATGACACATTAAAATTTTAAATGACAGATTAAAGATTGAAAACTGGTGGATGAAGAATCCACTAGAGAGATATGAATCCTTGCAGATTCTTTCCTCCTCATCCAATCATTATTATTCCTTTTGGGGTCAATGACTGACCCTGAAGACTACAGCAAAGCTTCCAAGTGAATCAGATCAATAATATACTCTTACTATGACCTCTACATACAAATTCATATAAAGATGCAAACCTGAATTAATGTACATATAAACATGGCATGAATTTTCTTTGAAACTGTCAGGTATATACTGCAAGACTGTTACATAAAATTGTGTAAATTTAGTGTTATTGTAATTCATATTATTTCACCAACTTCTCCAATATTGACTGTATCGAATTTCTTTTTTAAAAAATCATATTACCAGCATATTATGTCTTAGCATGATGTTTGATTGCATTTCTCAATGGTTGCAATATGCAGACCTATAATGACAAAATCAATAACTATTGACATCTTCTCTGGTAACTGTATAACACTGATAACTCATAAAACACCCTACGAATTTCAGATCAATTAACCTGCTACAAGCAATATGACATAACAGCTGCATTAAGCTGTGAGGGAATGTGAGGGTGACTTAGACTGGAAACAGAAGGCACTTTATCATAATGTTAGCCAGAGTTTCCTTATGTTGGTTAATGCTATTTTCATGTCATTCTGACAAAATTAAGGCATGGGTATTTATAGACTGAAGGTTACAACTATAAAGGGAAAGTAGAAAACAAAGGAAAAGTTTTATTTTAAAATTTCATAAGCAATGCTGAATTTAACATTTTGTGAGATACTAAGGAAATATTGAGTGTTATCAAGGAAATGCATCTATATGTACCTGAATACTAAATAATTAAACATTAAAAAAATAAGAATGTATATGCATTTTTTTTTTGTTAAAGCCCCCAAAATATAATCAAAGATATGACAATTCATTGATCAGATAGAGCAATTCTAATATATTTAAAAAGTAAATATGTATAGAGTAGGTGTATTCCTATGAAAAACATAATGCATATTCCTGAATTATTTATCAATGAGTGTAAAACACAAGCACAATGCAATATGATCAGGACCATACAGAAATTGCTGTAAGATAAACAAACATCCACAACATTTAAATCTCTTACCTGTTAATTAAGTCTTCAGGATCAACACTGGATTCCACAGGAGGAACATCTACCTCTGGTTAAATAAAAATGTATAACCATGAAAAAAAAGAATTACTCCATCACAAGCACAGCTTAAATCTCACCAGAAAATCTCACTAAAAAATCTCACAGTGCAATAACATGGCACGTTCTGGCTTGTGCTTGTGATATAGGTAGGCAGTGTCGTATCGATATACCTTTTAATCAATACTTGATCAATACGTTTCCATTCGGTCTGAAGTGACCTTTAAATACACTACAATGCCTCTGTTACCCTTTACACCTAGAGATTTAAAAATCCCCCGGTTATGTCGCGGAAACTATGGAGGAGCAAGTCTACAGTAGGAAAAGATGTCCGGACCGTTAATTTTTAAAGCAAATATTGATTTTCACCAGGATCAGCTAACTGACTGTAGATATAAGGCTATGAGGAACTTGTCACAGCAGTCAGGGATTAAGGAGGGGGATAATCTTCCTTTGTTAATCTGTCCTCAGTCAAGGACATGGATTATACGGGGTACAATGAGAGGGTGGACTGGTGAGGCAGCCCCCGTGACGTGAGGCAGATACGAGGTGAGATAATTATAATGCTCTGTGTGTGTGTGTGTGATACACTGATGTAGCAGGGACAGATCAATACATCACTATATCCCTAAAATGTACTGTTTACAACACATCTCTGTGCTTATGGGGTTTCCTCACTATCATTTGAATATTACTATAATTATACTTATCTTACAGAATAATTCATCAAAATAATGGGTGGATGTCTGCATCATGTACATTGTCCATGCAGTCTCTAAAGACAGTTTGCTAGGATTGAATTATTTATTTTCATTGTATACAAAAAGAATTTGACATGGTTTGTATAAGAAAATTCTTTTTTTTAATTGATGAATACCAGATTTTTTCCTTGGACTTTTTATAAAAGGTCTGCCAATTTGCTCAAGATTCATAGATTTTCAACAGTTGTTTACTTTTAACATGTTTAATGTTGTCTGGGTTAAAATTTGATATAAACTTCATTGGGGGTAATTGACCTTGAATCCATTATAGAATTATTCTTTTAACAATGTTTTCTGTGAAATTAATGCTGTCTTTCACTTGATCATTATCAAAAGGTTACAAAATTACAAAATACAGTAAAGGTTCGATCATTATATTTAACTTTATGGCATGAAGAAAATTCTTCATAATATCTTAGGATTTAAGATACCTGGGGTAAAATGCTAAGAAATACTATTAACCAACTATTATTCGCGTCATCTTTTATTTGCAATTTGTGAGTTTCAAATCGATCCGCGACAATTAATTTTCTTGACTGAGGAAATATTCTCTATTAAACGTAATGCTGAATAAATGGTTTGCGGTGATTAATATTTTCGATAGTAAGTCACGAAAATTGAAAATATTTCTCGCTTTCAAATAAAAGTAGGTTTACAGTATGCCATTACCATTCCAAATAATAAAAATTAAGCAAAGGAATTATGGGAAATTTAACAGAATATACATACAATGTGTTAATGGAAGAGTAAGGACATGTACATGTGTACATACACCTTTTCTGTTAGCCAGACAATTTCTGTATAGTCCCCTGATTATCAACGAGGAGATGATATTTAAAAATTTTTAGCAAGATATACTGTAAATGTATTATATTTAGTGTGCACGATATTTGGCAAAAATTGTTTTTTGAGCTAGTTAACATGGATTTGATTAAGCGCATTTCTCAATGTTTTCATTTGTGTATATATATGCAAGCCATTTAGCGATGTACTTGAATTATGGTAAGTTTCTCTCCGCCAAAAGCGCTAAAAAGAATACACAAACGTAGTACATTTACAGTATTTAGATTTCAGTAATCCTTGCATCACCTCTGTGTTGAAACAAATTAATCCTTATTTTTAGTTGAGAACAAGAAGGATGATGAAGTTCAAATATCCTCTCAGGCCAAAAATAAAATTAGCTTTGTTTGGCGTTGCCGGCCGACTCAGGTAAATCGATGGGGTCCGAAGATTTTTTCCAACTGATATAGATCGTAATTTTTTTCGTTACATTTATCTGGATTTAGGTATATGTACATTTGAGTAATATGTATACAAAATAGGAAAGAATCATGTAAACACTTGATTGATCAAACAGTTTTCATTTAAAACCATCTATGTTGTGTTGAATATGCGTTTCCAAGCATGGCTGTCGAAAGCAGTAATGTAAACTCGGTATAACAGAAGTTGATGGCATGACTCTCCGCAGAAATGTATTTTAAAATGGCAAAAATATACTGACAAATCAGTTATACAAGTTTGAAATAGAAATTTTAAGGTGCAATGTCCTGTCCGATTTCCTAGATGAATCTAGTGGCTATGCTTGGATTCGTGCATATGAAAACAACTTTATGCCAATTCAATGTCAACAGTTTTATCACCATGTTCATGTATGTTAAAGGTATTAAAGGTTTATTATATTAAACTAATAGGGTTTGGACATAAATAACAACTGGGAATCAATTTGGACTGCAGTTGGTGCTAAACCTATGACGCCTGGATACTAATAACATTTCTGAACTTGAAAAAAAATATTTTCTTTATCTACCGACCCAAACGTATTAAGACTGAGTCGGCAACACCAAACCAACAGTATTTTTTATTGTGGCCTCAAAGATCTTCAGAGATATGAAATTACATGTAAAATAATCATATGGTATACATGATAAAGCAGCCAACCCCCCAACCCCCCCCCCCCTCATAACTTAATTGTTGAGTGGACTGAACATGAGGCAATCCCCCCCCCATTTCCTCTATATATTTTTTCCCTTAAATTTTGATTTGTTTGGGAATTATATTTCATGTCTTTTAATTTTCTTAATTCAAAAACTCTAAATTTGACTCCTTTCTTTATGAATAAATTTATACATGTTACCCTCTCTCCCAAATAAATAAATACATTCCTGAATCTCCTCTTGAATCTTTTTACTCAATTACATATAAATTCTGTACACTGATGAAAATTTATCAACTAATAAACATGAAAATCAAACAGTAATCATACATCTTCATAGCACAAATCCATTTTCAAAGCTTATTTTATTTAAACTTTTATTAAAGCAAATAAAAAAAAAATAGAAGGATCAAAAATTGCATATTTATATCATGCACAGTATATACAAAACTAAATTAGTCATAGTAAAAGTATAAAATTAATAAGTAAAACAACTTTCAATAATCATGATTTGAACAAATATTTTATAAAGAGTATCATTCATTGTTGGAACCAACAAATGGAATTTCTTTCTTTTCCACTATGCATTCTCAAAACTTTCACCACAGCTTTGTTATCTGTCTTACATAATAACCAGTTTCCCTCTTACCTTACAGTATCTAACATACAAATACACTTTTAACACTTCCTTCTGTAATCTAATTATCTACAGTTAAATAATCAGCAAAATTGAGCACTGATACCCTCTCTAATCTCCAACACAATGGTTCTATTTTGTATTAGATTTGTTAAGAAATGTTCTGGACTGGTGCTCTAAATTTACAACATAATAAGCAAACTATCTTATAAAACGGTCACCGTAATAACGAGATTCCACTATATCACACTCCATTTGTCCATTAATAATAATCTTTATCAAATACATGTAGTTACAAGAGACCCTTTCTCACCTTCTGTTTTTTCTTCCTGAACAAATTCCTTGTCATAAACACTCACTTCTCCATGTTCACACTGAATAAGAAAAATAAACAGATACTTAGAGACAAATCTTTACATAAAAAATTAATTTTTTTAAATTTTCTGTTAGTACATCGAGACAAATAGAATTTTTAAGCACTTTTATCCAATAACTTGTACAGACGGGAGAAGTTCTAGTGCATGGCATATGCATATGACTAAAAATGGACAAGAAGTATAGCATTTAAAGGACAAAAAAATCCAAATATCTCAGTGTTATGTCAAAACACTCATCTAATATAGATCAGAATTACTTTTATGCATTCTTGAGCAAAATATATTCATATAAATTAAAGTATGTGTACACATGCAATAAGATGTGTCCATTTGACAAATTTTTATCCATACATAGGATACATGTATTTAAAAATTTTAACTAAGATTTTTTAACTTGCATTTCAATAAGCTCCCATCTTCGAATTTATTAGAACAATGAATTTTTAACAGCAGAAAAAAATCATTACGTGCATAGATAAACATTTTTTTTACCCAAAGAAAGTCAAACATTTCAAGAGTTATGTCCCTTAAAATCTGTGGCCTACAGTCTTTTTTCAGTTGAAATGGTTTATTTGCCAATATTTTATCAGACTATTCCTATGATTTAACTCAAATCACTGTTAATATGGTAAAAATAATACATTGTGATACATCTACTACTTGCATCATATAGTTTGATAAAGATTTGTATATATGTACTGTTTACAACCCCCCTGAGGGATCACCTGCAATAACACGAAATAATGTTAATATTCTGGAACTCGTACAGAAGGATATTAATCAATATAAAGATTTAGGAAATATAATGCTTTGTGGAGATTTTAATGCTAGAACAGGAAATGCAACTGATTATATACTAGATGATAACAACCAATATTTACCCTTATTTGAAACATATAAAATTGATAATGATATTTTCAAAAGAGTTAATAGAGACACTTGTGTGGATAAGAGAGGAAAAGAACTAATAGATTTTTGTATTGGAAACCAACTTCGTATTATGAACGGAAGATGTTTTGGTGACATTTTTGGAAATTTCACTTGCCATAATTATCATGGAAGTAGTGTTGTTGATTATCTTTTAACTGATGAAGAAATTGTACAACGTATTTTGTTTTTTGAAGTATCAGATTTTATTTCCACATTATCTGACTGCCACTGTATGTTATCATGGAATATTTTTTCTCAACATGATTCTTCTAATAGAGAAAATAGTATAGATAATAATAATTACAAGACCCATTCATCCTTTAAGTGGGGGGAAGACTCTGCTATTAAATTCATAGAGGCATTACAATCCCCCAAAATAAAATTATTATTATTGTCGTTATGGGTATTTCCTGTGTGAACAGAGGGGTGGATCTGTGTGGTTTTTATGTCACGTGATATGGTCATATAAATAGCAGGTGCGTGCTTTAAAAGTTATTCTACCGCTCGTACAGAACGTTGTAAGGAATGGAAACCAGTATAGCGAGTTCAGATATGCACTATTCTGAAGAAGTTTTATTGGGCGAGTCTAGTACTAGTGAACAATTGTCTAACGAGAATGCAGTATCTTTATTTAATAGTTCATTGAGAAAAGCTTTGCAACAGCAGAATGAGGTCATTGTGAGTTCTATTGTGAAGCAAATTAACAGTAAACCTAATAATCCCGCCACGAATACCGGGCACGAGGATAGCGCACGGGAGGATACTAAACATAACTCATTCGATTTCAAACACGAGGGACATCGCATTCAGCATACCTTTAATACAGAGAGAATAGAGAAGTTGATTGAAACAAAAAACTTTATAGAGAAGAAAGATTTGGAGAATGCGGCACTGACAATTGAGAAAGAAATCGGCGAGTTGCGACAACGAAACAAGATTCTAAAAATAGCAGACAGGCACGGGTGGGATACTGTCAACGAATATTTAGACGATCCATTAGCAGACAACAATGACGACGCTGTTAAGTTACGGGGCGCTGTTAGCCGTGCTGTTCGTAAGCGTAATTACAGAGGGAAGCCATATACATATCCCATGCAAAACCGTAGACAGAATGCATTTGCTGCCAACGACTTTTTTCGCACTTTCGGCCAAACGTTTGCTACAGGGGGGTACAAGCAATTCGCCAAACCAATCGAATACGGTGCAGGTCAACAGAACTTTGAACGGAAGTGCTTTTTCTGCAGACAGGTCGGACATTACGTCAGGGACTGCCCATTTGCCAGAGGAAAACAAGTTCCAGTGTCAGCTTCCACGGTCGCATCGGCCTCTAGCAACAACGCCAACAAACAGTAGTAGAGAACAAGTTGAGTATAGTGAAAATGAAGGCTGTATGAGTGATTCTTATGAATATGAGTTAAACACGTGTTCGAAGATTTCAGTAAAGTTTCGGTTAAAAAATTGTTTACAATTTTGGAAGAGTGAATTGTCTTCAAACATTTTTGTCAAAAATACTATTCAGTTTGGTTATGTAATTCCATTTATTCAATTGCCGCCTAAGGTCGTTTTAAAAAATAATACTTCGGCTCATATTCACAGTGATTTTGTTTGTACAGCCATCAATGATCTTTTAAATTCTGGTTGTATTCACGAAATATCTGAAGAAAAAATATATGTTGTTAATCCACTTACTGTTTCAGTGAACAGCACAGGTAAGAAAAGGTTGGTGTTAGATCTTCGACATGTAAATCAATTTGTAGAAAAACAAAAAGTGAATTTTGAAGGGGTGAGTGAGGCTTTACAATATGCAAAACAGGGAATGCACATGATTAAGTTTGATTTAAAATCAGGTTATCACCATATTGATATACATCCAGATTTTCACAAATATTTAGGTTTTTCTTGGAAATATGGTGACAAATTCAGATTTTTCGAATTTAATTTGTTACCTTTTGGTTTATCCTCAGCAGGGCATGATGTTTTTACAAAAGTAGTGAGAGTTTTAGTGAAATATTGGAGATCATGTGGTATACCTGTGGTAGTATACTTGGACGATGGTTGGGTTTGTGATACGTACGAGAAGTGCAAGTCTGCATCAGACATAATACAATACACGCTGTAGAGATCAGGTTTTGTTATAAATACTGAGAAGTCAGTACTTGAGCCTACTCAGAGTATGGTGTGGTTAAAGGGTTTTTGTGGAATTTGGAAAGCGGGACGCTAGAAGTTCCTTTGGAAAAAATTAGTAATATTAAATCTTTATTAAAAGAACTTTTAGAGAATAAAAACAATATTTCGGCGAGAAAATTATCTTCTGTTGTGGGAAAAATTATCGCATTAAAACCATCTTTGGGAAATATATGTCAGACGTCTCAGTATTACAATTTGCTCTAAAACTGGCTGGGATGAAATTTTGTATATAGACAATGGGAATATTCAAGAGTTGGAGTTTTGGCATTACAATATCGGTAAGCTCCCTTGCAAATATTTTACATGTATTGATAAGACACCAGAGAAAATTATTTTTTCAGATGCAAGTTCTCATGCAGGCGCAGGGTTTACATGTGAAAGGAATAAGAAAATAGTTCATTACATGTGGGATCAGTGTGAAAAAAGTAAAAGTTCAACTTGGAGAGAATTAAAGTCAGTGCAAATAATTTTAACAAGTCTGGCAGATGTGTTGAGTGGAAGGTTTGTGAAAATATTTACAGATAATCAAAATGTCGTGCGCATCGCATGTAAAGGTAGTATGGTTGACGAGCTGCATCAGCTGGCATTGAGTATATTTGGTGTCTGTGTGCAATACAGTATTTTACTTGAAGTACAGTGGATACCAAGAGAATTCAACATGGATGCAGATAGTTACAGTCGCATATTTGACAGTGATGACTGGAGTGTGTCTGAACACATTTTCCGATATTTTGATAGAATATGGGGTCCTTTTACAATTGATCTTTTTGCAAATTGTAAGAATAACAAAGTTAAAAGGTTTTATTCGAAATATTGGAATCCAGGCACTACAGGAGTTGACGCTTTCGCTTATGATTGGTCAGGTGAAAATTGTTGGATAGTACCTCCTCCTTTCCTTATAGGCAAAGTGATAAAACATTTGCGTTTGTGTAATGCATATGGAACTTTAATCATTCCTAAATGGTTGTCTGCTTTATTTTGGCCAATGATATGGGATAAAAGTACAACATCTTACAAATCTTATATAAAAGAATATGTTGAATATAAGAACCCAAGAAAATTTTTTATGTCAGGATCAGACAAGTCGAGTATATTTGCTCAAGATATGTTTTTGAGCAACGTTTTGGTTGTTAGAATTGATTTCAGAAAAATATAATAATAGCAGTTTAAATATGTAAGTGAGTGTGTTGTTATATTTTTGCTGTTTATTCACAGATTTTTAGTGACACTTGGGCTGAAATTAAAGACATGTCAACGAAAGAGCAGTTTAAATCAGCAGATTCATCAATATTCCACATCATGAAAAGTGCAAAAAGTAAAAACACAGTCAAGCAGTATGAAACGTATTTCAAGAAATTTACGCAGTGGTGTATTTCCAAAGATGTCGCAAGTTTTCCCGCAAAATCTAGTGTGATTGCCATTTTCTTAAGTGGATTAATTCAACAAGGAGTTTCTGAAGCAGTTCTGTGTTCATTTTTCTATAGTATAAAGTGGTATCATGATCTTCATTGTGCGTTTTCTAATCCCTGTGACGACAGTGTTATTCATAGTTTAATGGAGGGGGGAAACGAATTTTATCAAAGCCCATAAAGAAGGAACCAATTTCGCCAGACGTGTTAGAGAAGATTATAAATGTATATGGGGAACGGGAGCAAAATTGTGATTTACGAGTGTGAGAACAGTGGCTATGTTGTTGTTGAGTTTCGCAGGTTTTTTGCGATTTAGTGAATTATCTAATATTAAAGTGAAAAATATAATTTTCAAGAATTTATACATGAATGTTTGCATCGAATCCAGCAAAACTGACGTTTACAGGCGTGGTAACGAAGTGACATTGGCAGAGGCAGGAGGGAAGCTGTGTCCTGTATCTTGGATTAAGC